TGGGGTCTAACTGCGGGTTAGGCGGTCTAACTGCGGGTTAGAACGGTCTGACTGCGGATTAGAGCGGTCTTAATGCGGGTTAGTGGGGTCTAACTGCGGGTTAGGACGGTCTCTGCTCTGTCTCTGGGTCTTTCCTCTGATTGGACGTTGAGCTCTGTGTGTGAATGTGTTCTTCCTCAGACTGTCAGCTTCCCTCTTCTGTCTTAAACAGAGGACTTCAGCTTTAATTAAGGTGATTAATGTTAATTAGACTCCCAGAGGCCTGAGACACACAGACTGAAGGTCCAAACATCCAAACAAAGAGTGGCAGGCAGCACCTTAACAGGAGGAAACACAGTGAGAGAAAACCTCTTCTGCTAGGAAAGAAGGAAGGATGGAAGGAAGGAAGGAAGGAAGGAAGGAAGGAAGGACAGAAAGGACAAAAGGATGGAGGTATAGCTCATTTCATATACAACTGCTGAAGAGATAGCAGAACTGAAATCAGTTTCCAGGTCACAAGGGGCAAGTAGGAAAAAATGGAGACAGGGAAGAAAATAAGGAGGTAAAGGTGGAATGGTAGAGGTATGGAAGAGTGGGGGAAATGGAGGCGGGATGAGAGGAAGGAGGTAATGGAGAAGGGTAGAGTTGGTTAAGGAAGTGAGGAAGGAGGTGATAAAGGAGAAAAGGAGAGAGAGGAGGAGGAGGGGAAAAAAGTTTTAAGGTCTGTTTCTGTCCAAGCTGCAGGGGGCACTACAGTCCAGTTGATCAGGTGTCATTATCAGACACACACACACACGCACACACACACACACAAACACACACACACACACACACACACACACACACACACACACACACTCAAAGTCTGGAGCTGTCTGTCTCTTTTTGTCATGAAGATGTTGTTAATTTTCACATAGGTGAAAGTATGACATTGTGTGTGTGTGTGTGTGTGTGTGTGTGTGTGTGTGTGTGTGTGTGTGTGTGTGTGTGTGTGTGTGTATGTGTGTGTGTCTGTCTGTCTGTGTGCATGTGGGTGGGATTATCTGACAATAATGAAGCATGTTCAATACACACATGAGATTATGTCTCTCTCTCTCTCTGTCTGCTCTCTCTTTCAGCTCTGATTATTATATGTTTATTCTGTATTTGATTACATTTTTGTTGTAACTAAAGTGCAGCAAATACAGCTGAGTACAGGTTGCAACTAATGCTTATTTTCATCATCTCTTCCAATTCACTGATCAATCTTTTGGTTAATAACAACAACAGAAAAGAGTGGGAAATGGCCATAACAATTTTTAGAGCCCTTTTTAAATGTGTGGTCATGTCCGATCAATAGTCCAAAACTCAACAATATTAAGTTTACTAGGATTATATCCGACAGGAAAAGAACCATCTAATGTTTTATAAAATACTGGCAGATTAGTTTTATGTCGGTCAACTATTTGAATAACGGACGAATCGTAGCAGCTTCACATGTTGTAAGTACAGAGGAAATGTAACAAAGAATTAACTCAAAGAAACTGATCAAACACATTAGTAAACTGTTTCTGGATTAGTATAAATAACAAAATGTACTTAATAATTAAATGTATTACAGTACATGTATTAAAAGTGAATGTACTGGACGCATCCTTGTTAAATGATTATATATGATAAAATAGATTGTTATTACTGATGCAAGCAGCATTTTTATGTTGCAGCCGATCAAATTTTCAGTCTTTTATATATTGAATGGTTTAATTTACAAGAATGTTTCATAATTCATATTGTGTCCTAATATGCAAAGTAACTACAGCTGTCAGGTAAATGTAATGTGAAACAAAAAGAACAACACTGTGCTTAAGTACAGTAGCCTACGAGTCAGTGTGATTACTGTCCATATGGACAGGTGCAGGAACTGTCAGTCATGGACAGAAAGTATTAAAGTATTAAAACTCAACTGTTTGTTTTTTAAGTTTACAATTTTTGAGAAAGGCCTACTTACAGTTAACCAAAGTATTTCCAATATACTTAAACTGCCACTCCACTGCATTTCAAAGGGAAATAAATACGTTTTACTCCAGGTTTACTTTTGGTTAATTTTCATAATTTTTTTTTCATACAAATTTCACATATAAAACATATAATGGTCTTATAAAATGTGTTTATCATAGATTTAATTACAGCATATTAATTAGTTTATTAGCTAGTGAGCTCTACTTCGACCAACTTCACCAGGGAAATGCTGCTCACTCATACTGCTACTGAGCATTAATTATCGAGTAATATAAAATATTAAAACACTTAAACTGCAGAATGAGTACTTTCACTTCTGACACTTTAAACAGGGAACATTTATTTATAATATTGATGTACTTTAACATGTGTAAAGAATAAAAACTGTAATGCTGGACTTTAAAGGAATATTTTAAGTTACACTCCCTCCACCACTGTTTAGGAACAGTTTAAAGGTTTTTTATTATTATCCGCATTTCCATTTTGTTTTACTGCAGTTCAGAAGGAAACAGACTCAACAGACCTCCGGTTATCTGAAACATTTTATAAGTAGCCTAAACTCACAATATATTTCAGCGAAATTAGACAACAATAAAGAGACACAGGAACAGATAGACACTGTCAGAAGGACACACAGGCGGACATTTAAAAAGTCCGTGTTTCTGACACAAGCAGCCTGAAAGTGATCCGGACAGAAACCCGCGGACAGACGGACAGACAGTGTCCGTGGTTTAATTCCTCTCCTTCTGCTGTTCGCTCTGTTTCATAACCTTCAACTCACCAAGAAAAGAGGAAATAAAGAACAGGAGGAGGAGTAAAAAGAGGGGAAGAGACAGAAGGTGAAGGGAAACAAGAAGGAGGAGGAAGGTGACTTACCGGAGGAGGAGGAGGAGGAGGAAGAGGTGATGGATGGATGAAGAAAGTAGAGTCCTGTGGGTCTGAAGCGCGGAACTCCGCTCACACACACTATCAGTTGCAGATCATCAATCAATAATCAATACCAGACGGGTCAGTGTCTCCTGAGTGCGGGTCTGTGCGGGGTTTCATTGACCAGACACCGGTCCTCCATCCATCAGGTATCCGGACGCTGATCAACTCTGTCGGAGCAGCGGAGAGCCGCGCGCTCTGCGCCGCACCGAGAGCAGAGCAGTGGGACTGCGCATGCGCCGCGCACAAAGAGAGAGAGAGAGAGAGAGAGAGAGAGAGAGAGAGAGAGAGGGGGGAGAAGCTTAAATTGAATCCAATAATAAAAATAAAAAAATTGGATGGATTTTTAAGGAAAAAAATCTGAAACCAGATTGTTACCTGTGTGTGTGTGTGTGTGTGTGTGTGTGTGTGTGTGTGTGTGTGTGTGTGTGTGTGTGTGTGCAGCAGGTTCTGGCTGACTTTTGTCCAGGTTTTGTTGCTGGCAAAAAAACTGATAAAATCTATTTTAAAACTATAAATACTGGCTGCAACACACACACACACACACACACACACCACGCACGCACACACACTTTGTTCTCAGCAGTGTTCAGTATTTTCTCTCTCTGTATTTACTGTCAACTCACCTGTTTATGAAGTCAGGAGGTGTCAAGTTAAAGAATCAGTTCACAGTTTCCTCCAGTCAGATGTTATTTACTGAGAGTTTATAAAAGAAAGTCAATCTGCTTCATCAGTGTGTGGTTTGCGTTCACATCATGTCATACAGTCTGTAATAATTAGCAGCTCAGAAAAAACACTGCACCACAAAATGGTGGTGAAATGACTGCACTAGCATTTACTAAATAAAACCCAGCATTAACACTATTAGACTTGAGTCAGGTCATTCAGTTGTAACTATACTGTTTGTTTGTATCTGGTTGCACTGGTTAACCAATCGCTCCAACTATGTATACAGAGTAAATGTAGCTCATTTACGCTATTTAAAGGATGTGACAGTGGGAGTAACTTTCTTGGAATAACGCGTGAATATTTCCAAGTCGGAATAACAGCAGGTTTTCCTGTTCTTTCCATTCTGCCAACATTGCGTGAATGCAACACCACCCACCATCATCAGATCTTAATTCAGATGTTTCTATGTCCTGATTGGTGCACCAAAGTAGTATATACAGTAAATCTCTATGGTGAAAAAACAAAAGTTTTTTTTACAATATTTCTTATTTTATTAAATATAATTCTCTCTGTTTTGGTAGCTGACATAGTGGCTGGCACTGTGGCTGCGTTGTAAACTGCGTCTGCTAATGGAATTAATGTAAAAATGTAAATGTAAACAGTATGGATACAAATTTTAATTCAGCTAAAGGTTAGCACTGTCAAGTCAGCTTGCTGTTGATCAACAGTGTGAATATGTGTCAAAGTGTATCAAAGTTGAACTCCATGTGATTCCACTGAAAGTGATTTCACCACATAATTTCAGCTGAAACTGCTGGTGTGGCATTAGTAGTCTGACTAGTGCACAGAGGTGAACTGCCAGTTCAAACTGAATCTGAACAGAGAATCAACAAATCATCTCAACTTTTCAGTCAGTTCAAATCATCAGTGTTTAATTTAATGATTCAATCTACCACCAAGAAAGATAAAGTTTCTAGTATTTCTTGACAAATTATGTTAAATTAGTCCACAGATTATACAACAGCCATAGAAAATCCATCTTGGAAGGCGAGCTGTATTTAGTTGGTTGCAACTTCCCCACTAGATGTCACTGAATTGTACACACTGGTCCTTTAAACTGCATGTTAAAAGCTCTGATGCTTAAAGGATACGTTCACAACTATGGTTTAATACTCAGACATCTGTACATAAATTCAGGGGTTCTTCAAAAAATGAAACAAAAAAACATCAAATCAATCTAGCAAATAACACATTATGAAATTAATTGTAGAAAATGCATGTAAATTACAGTATTATTAATAAACTAACACCACTTCAACTTTTTTCTTATATCTGATACTTTATGTGAGATAAATATTGTATATTTGCTTCTGTCCTTTACTGCCTTATCTTTGAATGTTGGATAATGTCCATTTAGGAGAATACTGACTTTATATAAGTGTTCAGGAGTTTGCAGTGTTTTTTTACAGAAAAAGAAAACCTGAAAATCTTCCGTCGCTCTCCTCTCTGGCAGCTGGACAGAACCAAGATTCTGCTGAGAGTGATTTTAGTGAGTAAATAAAACTGAAAGCTTAAAAGTCAAGGGGACAAATATAGGATTTTAAAAAATGATGAGGACAGAACACCTCAGAGAGTATCGCCTCAGAGGTCAGACAGACAGACAGACAGACAGACAGACAGACAGACAGACAGACAGGTAACATCATGTCAGAGAGATGAGACATTCCACACTAGAGCTCTGAGAGAGACTCCCTCTGAAAGGCTTGTCGGCTTCCCAACCAGCCCAAAGCATGATGGGGAACTCTGAGCTGAGCTAGCTCTCTTTAAAAGACCAGTGTGTAGGACTTAGTGGCATCTAGTGGTGAAGTTGCAAATTGCAACTAACTGAACATTGCTCTTGTCTGTATTTGATGACCTGGGAATGACAACAGGCTCTGAAGTGTGCAGGAGAAACTACGGTGGCTGCAAAACATGCAAAAAAACAATTGTCATATATAAAGATGGATGACATGACAGCTCTCCAGAAGTGAAACTGAAGCTTGATCGCCCCCTGGTGGCTGACTGCAGTGTAGGTCATAGGGCCAGCTACTTCCACGTTAGCAGATGGGATATGGGCCAAACAAAAAAGTACATGTCAAATATTTTCCCCCCAAAAATGTATTCTTGTATTTGAGGTAGTTCTTATTAAACCGATGCATCTTCAGATGTTCCTTAAAATCAGTGAAAACACTACCGCCGTCCACAGGGGCCGCCAATAAATCAATACAAACGTTTGTTGTTGCTGCTTTAAACTCACCAGGCGACTCCAAGTTAAAGCTAATGTTGCACTGTAACTGTTGGATGTGTAAAATGTTCAATATTAACTGTATAATGTGATTACATGTCAGTTGGTTTCCGCTGCCTCCTCGTAGACAAACAATCTGTTACCGCAGGATTAATAGCATTTCACTGTCTGATCATATGGAAACTTTGGGATCTATACTAAGGTTTAAAAGATGGTCAAAGTGGAGTCCATTACTCCTCATCTTCTCACTGATCCTCCACAGCTCTCTTACTTTACCCGGTGTTCCCTTTTCCACTTTTCACTTGTTCACTCCTCAATTTCTCACCTCCATCCCCTTCTCTCTCTCTCTCTCTCTCTCTCTCTCTCTCTCTCTCTCTCTCTCTCTCTCTCTCGCTCTCTCTCTCCAAAGAGGCCCTTGCTGTGGTTTCCCAGAGTTCCTTGCAGCTCCCAGGTCCCAGTGGATCTGTTCCTCCATTTGCTGCCACAGCAAACCAATCCAGTTTCTCCACTCCTCTGGACATCCAGCCAATCACAATCCAGCACTGCCACGACCCACTTATACACACACACACACACACACACACACACACACACACACACACACACACAAACACACGCGCATACACACGGGCATTTCCCCCTCTCACCTTGAACATCACATCAAGGTTGTGCAAGGATACAGCAGAGTGTGTGTGAGAGAGAGAGAGAAATAGAGAGAGAGAGGGAGAGAGAGAGAGAGAGAGAGAGAGAGAGAGAGAGAGCTGGGAGCTGGGAGCTGGGAGCTGGAAGGCACTCAAGTAAAACCAGTACAAACACACAGATTTAATAAAAATATATTTCAGTTTGGTGCAAACTTTCTGATCCACTTGGGGAGTAGTGTGTTGATTTAAAATGCTTCTTCCTCAAAGAATACACTGACTTTTTGGGGGAAATACATACTTGCTTTGTTGCTGAGAGTTCGATGAGAAGATCGATACCACTACCAGAAAGCTAAACTGGCTCTGTCCAAAGGTTCGAAAAAAACACCTTCCTGTCCCTGTAAAGCTCACTAATTAACATTTTATATCTCATTTGTTTAGTTTGTACAAACCATGAGGTTGCCAAAGAACTAGCAGACACTCCAGGAAGTCAATGCTCCTGGCCAAGAAACAGTCCAGCACCAAACTCCTTGTCAAACCACGACTTCTTATTCTGACTTTTTGTTTTTTGTACAGATTAAACAATGTGACACACATATATGTTAATTAGTGAGCCTTAGAGGTGCTGCCAGGCAGATTATTATTATTTATTATTTTTACAGAACCAGGCTAGCTGTTCACTTCCATTCCGTCCCAAATCCGTTCCGAACCCGGCAGGTCGTGTTGGGTCCAATAGGGTTCAGGCAGAGAATTAAAGCTCTGCCTCTATGACTATTTTAAGCTGAAGAAAAAGAAAAGCATTTCAGATCACTTGTATGTAAAACTATTAAATTTCAGGAGCGTATAGATATTCAAATGGCTGTTAACAAGTCTAATGGCTTCTGGAGGGGTTTTAGCCAACTATAGACCGATCTCTAACCTCCCCTTCCTCTCTAAGATTCTGGAGAAAGTAGTTGCCAAATAGTTTATTTGAGGATTTTCAGTCAGGATTTAGAGTTCATCACAACACAGAGACAGCTCTGGTTAAAGTTAATAATGACCTTTTGATTGCTTCAGACAATGGACTTGTCTCTGTACTTGTATTATTAGACTTTAGTGCTGCTTTTGACACCATTGACCATAATATTTCTTTACAGAGACTTGAGCATCAAATTGGCATTAAAGGAACTGCACTAAGCTGGTTTAAGTCATATTTATCAGATTGTTCATAGTTTGTACATGTTAACAATGAATCTTCAATAAATACTACAGTTAGTCATGGAGTTCCACAAGGTTCTGTGCTTGGACCAATACTATTTACTTTATATATGCTCCCTTTAGGCAAAATTATTAGGAATCACTCCATTAACTTTCACTGTTATGCAGGTGATACGCAGTTATATCTATCAATCAAGCCCGATGAAATTAATCAATTATCTAAATTACAAACATGTCTTAAGGACATAAAGTCCTGGATGAGCTGCAATTTTCTCTGATAAACCCCGCCCTGTGGGGGCGAGCGTTGTCATCATGGAGGATAGAGTTCGGTCCCAGACTGTGGAGATATGGGATTGCCACTGGTTGCAGAATCTCATCTCTATATGTCTCTGCATTGAGATTGCCTCCATTGATGACAAGCCTCGTTTTTCCAGTGAAAAACACCATCACACTGCCTTCACCAAAAGATGTTATTCTATCGGTGCAGCAATCAGCATAGCATTCTCCGCATCTTCTCCACACTTCGACTGCCGTAGGCAGAATCTGGACTCATCACTGAACATAACATTCCTCCACATGTTCAGGTTCCAGTGCACGTGCTGCCGATACCAGCGCAAACAGGCCTGACGGTGAAGGGCAGTCATGGCAGGACTCCTGGCAGCCCTATGAGACCGGAGATTGGCTGTGTGTAGTCTGTTCCGGATTGTCTGGGCAGAGAGCCGTCTGCCATATCATCCTGCAAACCTTGACTGGAAATCTGTAGAAGACAGCCTACGGCACCTAAGTGCTGACAGGGTGAGGAAATGGTCTTCTTGGGCTGTCGTCTTCTTTGGGACGCCCACTTCGCGGCCTGTCTTTGACACCCCCCGTTATATTGAACCTGGCCTTCAGTTTGGAGATGGTACTAGGGCTCACTCCAAATAATGCCGCAACTTGGTTTTGGGGAACACCAGCTTGAAGTTACCCTATTGCCCCATTAGTTGCCAATCAGGCACCTGATTGGCAGCACCTGGGGGTACCAGAAGTTCAAAACAAGTGTCAATAGCAACAGCAAAATAACCTGTTTGGCAATGGCAGAAAAGATTTGACAAATTTTTCACGGGCGCAACCCACAGACTCAGCGCTGCTGCTCATCCCACAAATGCATGTTCCTTACAAATGGGGCACCATTTCAAAGGGAACTAAACAGGCTTTCCAATGTTATAAGATTTATTGCCAAAAAGCATTGTTATAGCATTGAAATAATCTACCAAACACAACTTTTCTTACTTTTTGTGCTAAGTTTATTTGTTTTAAATGAACTGTCAGCTCTTTTACGTTGGTTGATACTGAAAAAAATCTTTCCACTTTTCATCCAAATATAGCTCGGATACAGCCTATCAGGTCTTTTGACATAAAATTACCAAATCAGTGCAGCAGCATGTTTCACCTCTGAGGATAACACTACCGTCAGTAAATGGTTCCCTGTGGATTTCTGAGGAGGTCGATGGAGGTTCTTCTGGATTGAAGCAGCCCTGAGGAGACCCAGAAGCTCTGTCAAGAAGAAGGAAAACAAAAAGGCTCAGTAGCAGTGACAGGTAATTGTAGGGGAGCTTAGTTATAATAATAATAATAATAATAATAATAATAATATAAAGTAATAGCAGGAAAAAATGTGTCCCAAAAACCAATAAGCTAATGATAAAATAAAGTGTGACTATAATCAGTATAAATACTTATTTGTACTTGTTTTTCTATTACAGCTCAAGCTGATTTGGGAAACATTTACAGGGAAACAGCACATAAGAGAAAAGCTGAGTGAGTCAGATATGTCTGTCAGTATGGAGGATGTTTGCTGCTCACTGTGGAAAGAGGCATTTACCGGTTTATTAAGCTCCTCCTTCCTGGATGTGAAGAGCCCTCAACAGCTGTGACTTTTAGCGTGCAGTGACACTACATGGTGTCAGGCACGAGATAATCTCGATCAGCCGAGGAGAGAGACAGAGGCACAGTTGGCTTCCAGTTGGCCAGTGGAGAAAGCAGGCAGGTACTGTACGACAGGAAAGGTCACACTGTTGTTCCTGTCAGGGATGTGAGAGTCAATGAACTGCAGACATCAGCATATTCTGAGCTGACACCACCAGAGGAGGTTGTTTACTGTAAACAATAATATTTCTTACAACTAGTTTACAGCAAGCTATAGTTCACAGTTTGAAGTGGTACTGCTATTGGCGCTGGGATAAAAACAGGACGAGTTTCAGTGTGTTTACTGAGGCAGCAAATTCTCTACGTGTGTGTTGACAAGAGAGCTGGTTAGGCAGCTCGGTTCCCAAAGTGTTCACACATGTTAAACAGCTGCTTCCACCTGTTCGACCCGGTAGATCAAAATGTTTTTTTTCTTTTGGTTTTTAATGTTTATTTTACTTTTTTGATGATTTATATGAGAATATTGATTCTACATGTCTGTACAGCAGTGACTCTGTCTGTCTGAGGGGTAGGGGCGAAAACAATGTAACATGGCACCCCAGGGGGCATCTCATAGTTTTCTTGCACACAGGGTCACTGTAGAGGGCACTTGATCATGTTTTATCTACTACAGGGGCATTTTTTCCAGCAGAGGTCACTATGCGTCTTGTCAGGAGCTGCCCCAGGCAGTATGACAGTTCAAATACAGATTTATTTTTTTTTACCATTTTTGACTTAACATTATGACTTATGTCTTTTCTTCAATATCGATTTGCAAAAATATGACAAATATATTCTTCACTCCTCTGCCCAGTGTCACTTCAGTGCACATGCAGAGGCCCACACCCAACTCCTATATCAGCCTACACAAGTTTCATGTTTTACCTGAGACCCACATTTTAATGCCTTTGTTCATCTGTGATGTGAAAACATCAGATTTCCACAGAAAAATAAAAAGCGTGCTTGTCAGAGTTGAGTTTCCCCAAGACACACACCCTGGAGCACTGTCAGCCAATGAGTCGCTCACAGTGGACAGCAGTAGAGGAGGCTGTACAGCATCTGGCTCTAAAGTGGTTTAGCTGACCTTACAGGGATCACTGGCACTGAGAGCACTGCCCTCCGTTTCCATTATCCCCTCTGTGTTTCCATCAGTTTTGAGGTTAGTCTTCTCAACTGATGACTGGAGTTGTCAACTTTTAAGGGTCAGCCCTTTTTCAAACATATTCTCCCAGCCAAAAACTGTACGTGCCTATAGCTACAGTAGTTGTAGCAGATATTAATTATGTTATTAATTAATTAAGAGTCAAGCTAGCTGAAAAGGAGATAGAGGTAGTAGCATAAACACATTCAGACTGGATTTATTTCTTTCAGGGAGGTGTTTCACCCCCACCCCAGTAATAATTAAAGCAGTTATTAGGTCTTTTTCAGCAAACATCCTGTAATTTAAATCCCATTCAGAGTGATGACCGACAGCAGCTTCCCATGACTGCAGTGAAGTCAAATATTGAGCCGGAAACAGATGAAACAGAAACTGATTAAAAAACATCTGAAAGTTTTAATTTTTTTTTTCTTTTCACATTTCATCAACAACAAAAATCAATAATAGAAAATACAGATAGACAGATGGAGAGAGAGAGATGGGTCCCAAATCCAAAACACCAGAGAGACAGGATGAGGTAAAGAAGAGGGGGATGACCAAAGGAAAAGATGGAGACTTCACTTGTCATCAGATTATCATCAGGACGGAGGCATGAAGAGTTTTATCTCCTCCTCCTCTCTTCTCTTTCTCTGTTCCTGTCTCTGTTCTCTTTATTCCTCTCTCTATCCCTCGGCTTCTCTTGCTCTCTATCCCTCGGCTTCTCTTGCTCTCTATCCCTCGGCTTCTCTTGCTCTCTCTCCCTCTCTCTCTCTCTCTTCTCCTCAGTCTCCCTTTCTCTTCCTCGCTCTCTCTCCCTCCCTCTGTCCCGGTCTCGGTCTCTGTCCCTCTCTCCGTCTCTTTGTCTGGCTTGAACGTCCATCTTTTGTCTCCTCTCCTCCTCCGGCTCCTTTTCTTGTGATCTATCGTCCCGTCTGCTACGGCGGGCTCCCTCACGTGCACGCTCTCGATCCTCCATCTCACGCGCACGCTCCTCCACCTCACGTACACGGCCTTTCCTGTCCTTCCTTGCCTGCTTCTCGTTGTCGCTGTCATCCTCGCTGTCGTTCTTGCGTCCGGCTCGCTTCTTGTCAGAGGGTTTGTCCTTCTTCTTCTTCTTGACCTTCTCTTTCTTCTTCTTCTTCTCCTCACTTTGTTCTTTTCTCTTCTTCTTTTTCCTGTGTTTGGTGTCCGAATCTGGAGGACAATGGGGAAAATAATCACTCATCTATTAATCCATCACAGCCTCATTCATATGTCAATTACTTTTAATGAGGCAGAAAACTTCAGCTCCTGATGCCACAGAAAATAAACTGTTCAGGACTTCATAACCCAGAATCTTTGAGAAAATAAGGTCACAATCCTTCTAACCAAGACATATTTAAAGTCCAACTAACACATTTAGTCATCCCTTTTTGCAGTCAAAATGAATGTCTTTTCAATGGACCGTTAATTGTTTTTTATTATTTAAAAAGGAAGGAAAAAAGCTCTTTGGGAAAACCTCCTCTTCCTGTCAGCCGGCTGTAGCTTACAGACAGAAATTGGCTGTGTTCAAATTTGACAAATAAATCCAAGAACAGTTTACCCCCTCACTGGCAGATATTACCCACCTATTGCCACTTTAAAATCCCAGCTAAAGACTGGGATGAGATGAAAAGATGGAAGCCTTTACTGTGCTAGTTATTGTTCACTCATTGTGTATCAGCCAATTCTTTATTAAATTGTGAAACTGTGAAATATGATCACAATCTCCCCTTCTGTTTCTGAGTTATGATGTTGAATAATGGCCAAAAACTTGAAGTTGACTTTGACCACCAACCCCCCCCGCAAAGAAATTCCGACGAGACGCTCCTGAGACATTGCAGGACGGACGGCTCAAAAACATGCAATTCAATTTTAGTTGAATTTGAAATAAGTAAATATGGATGTACCTGAGCTGCTGCTGCTGGAGGAGGAGTCCGAGTCTGAGGAGTCTGAATCTGATTCGCTGGATGAGTCTGAGGAGGAGGATTCAGATGAAGAAGAGGAGGAAGAGGAGGACGAGGACGAGTCAGAGGATTCCACTTCCTGGTTCTGAGTCATGATCATCTTGGGAGCGTTCTTCAAATGTTCTCTCAACTCGTCCCTGAGAGAGAGAGAGAGAGAGAGAGAGAGAGAGAGAGAGAGAGAGAGAGAGAGAGAGAGAGAGAGAGAGAGAGAGAAAGAGAAAGAGAGAGAGAGAGAGAGAAGGGGATGGAGGTGAGAAATTGAGGAGTGAACAAGTGAAAAGTGGAAAAGGGAACACAGGGTAAAGTAAGAGAGCTGTGGAGGATCAGTGAGAATTATGTACACACTGATGGTCGTTGCTCATTGTGTGTGTGTGTGTGAATATGAACTCCCCCAAACATTCATGTGAACAGAATTTAACTTTATTTGTATAAAGTTGTAGAAATTCATAGATTAATGCACATGGGTTTGGAATGAGATGTTCAACAATCATATATACTGTGTGTGTGTGGGTGTCCCTTACGTCAGTCCTCCCAGTCCAATAGAGGTGAAAAAGTTGATGGCGAAGCGAGTGTTTCTGGGGTTATCACGAGGAAAAAGACCTTCAAAGAACGGCTGCAGAGTCCTGAAATACACACACACAGTTTGTAACTTAATATGATGTTTCTGTGTTGTTGTCTGATCTTCAGTACTCACAATTGTTGTTTCCCTAGAACATTCATGTTCATATCAAATTATTTGGTGTAGGTGTGTGTTCTTACGGGTCTTTGAGCCTCTGGTTGAGTCTGGGGAGACCCATGTAGGCACAGAGCTCCTGAAAAAGGATCTTCACAAAGATCCTGCTGGACGACGTTGTGGTCTCCTCACTCATCCTGATGGACTCCAACACCTGGTCAAGAGACAAAAGACAGCAGAGAGAAAGAGGGGTACCATTAGTAATGAAGAAAATCTTTGAGAACAATCAGTTTCATGTGTGTTAAAGGATTTAATGTCTGTGTGTGTGTGCGCACGTGCGTCGGTCCTTACACTCCAGGGGACAGAGTCTGTGTAGAGTAGGTGAGCAAACAGCCGAGCCACGTTCCTCAGTTTGTTGGTCTCCAGTCGGTGAATCGTGTCGTACTGCTCTGAAAATATCCCCTCAAAACTTTCCATGTACTCCTTCTTCAGCAGACAGAACCTCTAAACACACAAACACACACACACACAAAGTGTTAACAAATGCTTTCAGTTCTTCCATATGTAGTTTCATGTAGTTCAACAGTATCTCAGATGTGTCAGCTCCAAGGTCCAGATCGGTACAGAACAGCAAATCAATCTAGACCAGATCCTGTGTCACTTGTTACTGTTATTGTGTTTTTGACAAACTGTGCCAAGTGACAGTTTATTGGTGCCACTCTTCATGGGACTGTGGGGACGAATGTAGCCGGCTATCGTCTACATTATGTTATGATTGAAAGTAGTGTTTTTTTTATAGTGCTGTCAGTTTAACGCGTTATTAACGGCGTTAACGCAAATCCATTTTAATGGCGTCAATTTTTTTATTGCAACGTTCGTTTAACTTTGTAGTTTTTTTTCACATGCTGTTGCAACAACTAGTAACGTTAGAAAAACTACAACACCACACCGGATCTAGCTAGACTGGAAACAAAACAACAGACACACCGCACACACTTGTTTAAGAGTAGTAGACGTTACGTTTTGAGTGGATGGCGAGCGTGAGACGCCGAAATGGTTGCCAATAATATTCTGAATGGAAAGTTTACTTTTAAAAAGTTGGCAAATGGTTCCATTGACAAGACCAAAGTGATCGGTGTGCTTTGTCGTTGTGACCTGAGCTATCATCGCAGCACGTCCAGTCTGAAATACCACTTGAGGCCAAGCACACAACTGATGCGAATTCTCTGCCCCCTCGTCAAAGCCAGGCAACAATGGATGATTTTTCAATAAAAACAACTTTTGCACAAAGCAAGCCGATCCACTTTTCCATGTTGATAAGAGCATTAAAATGAGAAAAAAAATAATGGGACAAAAATAAATCAAGGGACATTTAGAATAGATAAAAATGTGCGATTAATTGCGAGTTAACTATGACATTAATGCGATTAATCGAGATTAAATATTTTAATCGTTTGACAGCACTAGTTTTTTAAATTAACATTTTTAAAATGAACTGAATTAATCTAATACATCGACCAAGTCCAAGGTTCAAGTGTGTTCTGCCAGAGTGTGTGTGTGTGTGTGTCTCACCCCAGCCAGCAGACCAAAGAACTTCTCGTAGGTCCTCTGTTGAGCGCAGCAGTCCAGTATCATGTTACACAGCTCTTTCTGTTCACACAAACATAAAACATCTTATTAACACAAGGAACACATTTATACAAAAATCACACAAAAAACTACAAGAAATAAAAACAGACCTATAGACACATCCTCCTCTAATGTCTAATATACTCTTTCTTCTGGCTGAAATGTCTTTGCCCTATTTTGTTAGCAGTTTTCACGTCTCTTCTTTTCTTTTTATTTATTGTTTTACGTCCCCAGGCTTCATTGATTCTGCCTCAGCTCCACCCACGCCCCACGTCTTTGCGTATTTTCATAGGTCTTCAGAAACCTATGTCCATTTTAAATAATACAGGCTAGTGTTACTGGACATTAAGCTCTGTCTTCATACTTAAACAATTTAAAGTATAAAACATTTCTATTGTGCAGCTTACATCCGCACTTTGTGATTTATGTATCTTTAACCATGATAGCAATGTAGCTCTTGGGATGGCAATGTTGCTTGGTCGTACAAACACTCATCGTCTAAGATTTATTGTTGGGAAACAGTGGGCAGGTCAGTCAAGAAGACGCCTTTAGACTTCTTGATTTAGATGTGAAACTTTGTGGTTTAATGACTTAGTTATTTTTTCCCCTAAGAAACACCTCAGTCAGTGTGTCCGTAAAGTGTGTGTGAGACAGAGGCTGTGAGAAGAATGTGCCAGAGGACAAACATCTTTGTGTGTGTGTTCCAGCTGTTGTGTTGAGTGATTCAGTCCTGATGCTGATGAAACTCTGGCTGACAAGGTCATCAGATCTGACCTCACACACACACTCACACGGACACACACATACAGAGTGCATTTTCAGTATACTTGTATACTGCAGTGCACAGCAGCTGTTTGTGCTCAGGTTCTCTGTGTCTTCAGATTCAGCTACATTTATTATTCATGTCACTAAAATCACTGCATCCTCTGCAAATGGACGTGAACAGGTGATGCCTCCCGAAACACCTCCAACATGAACTTGTTCACCAGCTGGTTTTCTATCAGTTAATCATCTAAGGCACAATTAATCACAAAATATACAGACATCAGAAAATTGTCCATCGCAAGTACCTGGAACCTAAGATGACAGCATCATATTTTCAGCTTATCTCATTTTACAGCAAATCCTCACATTAAAGAAGCTGTAACCAGTGAATGCTTGAGGAATTACTTAAACAATGAGTAAACATTATCACAATTATTGCAGCTTAAAGCTCTGTTGATCGATACAACGATTAGTCACCTAACATATTCTGCAGTACAATAATATCACACACGCAGAGCCCAACACGTCTCCATGTTTTATTTTGTATCATCACGCCCATCAGCAGCTCAAATGGTCCCATGTGGTTAGGCCCAAGTTCACAGAGTTTAACTGAGGACAGGTGTTGGTACTTTTCCTCCACAGTCTGCACCCGTTTGAGCAGAAGTCAGTGATATATTACAGTTGAATGTGAAACGTTTAAATGTTTATGCCACATTCACATGAAACTCTTTGGCAGGGAAGTGAAGTCATCTTTAAGTAATTTCTCTAGTGGCATTCAATTTGAAAACGTACCTTTTAAAAATATAAATAAGTGTGTACGTTAAGCAGCCAAACAAGGTGTGAATGACATTTTTTTATGCTTTAGCCTCAGTTTTTTAATATTTAGCCAGCAAGACATGGTTCTTCTTTAAATACGAACCAACCCTAACACTGCTGATCAAACCTGCCAGAGACAGTTACCATTTCAACAAAATCAACCATCATCGGTTAGAAATGACACGCTTTTATCCTTCTCTGTCTGAACAAGTGTTGAGGAGCCACACGTCATCAGTGTGAAGGTCAAACACACAAACCTGTCCTCACAAAGATAAAAAAAAAAACAACACACAGCTGATCGTCCTCTGACACATGATTCTCTCTCACTCACTCACCAGCAACTGTCAACTTCTGAAAGCAACTATTACTGTTACACAACCTGGCCTCAGGACCACAAACACAAATGAACAAGTGACAGACACAAAATGCAGCGTGTTCACCCTCCTGTGGACACTACAGTTTTCCACACCATCTACACTGAAAAACCAACATGTTTTCTTCCTCATCCTTTCCTTTAATATTGAACTTGTTTATTAGCGCCACCTTCTGGTCAGCAGTGTGCAATAAATCCTTGCAATTTACTAAGCTGGAACCAGACTCAAACGAATCAATAATGGTCAAAATTGTTGCTGATTAAGTCTCTCGATCGACAGATTATTTCAGCTCTAGATTTGTGCAACTGTTCATTACAACAATTCTAGTCAACAATGACTGTATACTGTGCATCAGCTTGTTTTATTCATCCATGCTTCAGAATGACTTCAGAAATGAATGGTATTTTCTGACTTATCCTCAGTGGAGAAACGCTCTCCTCTCAAGTGGAAAACTGAGAGAAAAAGACAACTTTTCACATACCCGTATCGTCATTATCCTCATATCACCCTAATTTGTGTTTGTTTGTGTGGACTCACCGTCTGGCTGTCAGGAAAGTCCATCTTGATCAGTTTGTGAGCGCACTCCTCAAAGTCCAAACTACAGGGGGAAAAAATCAATTAATCATCCATAAGTGTACATTAGTGAGTTTGTTTGTAAAACTGTGTGTGTATTCCTGTTTCTGTGCTTCTATGTGTGTAATTTTCCTCAATCTGTTTCAGTGTTCCATCCTATTCTTCAAATCTCTGAACTGTTCTTCAATAAAACCATGGTAACTAGGCTGCGCACACACAGATGCACGCACGCACGCACATGCACACACAGCTTTAAACACAGCTTTAAATATTAGTCCAAGTCCATCAAATATAGAAGGAGCTGTAAATAACTGCCAACACCCTGAGAGACAACTGAGTCACTGACTGTATGAGTGAGCGTGTGTGTGTGTGTGTGTGTGTGTGTGTGTGTGTGTGTGTGTGTGTGTGTGTGTGTGTGTGTACGTGTATGTGTATGTGTGTGTGTGTGTGTGTGTGTGTGTGTGTGTGTGTGTGTATGTGTATGTGTGTGTGTGTACCTGGACTGTATAGCGAGATAGATGGTTCTTCTAAAAGCAACCAGGTTGACTTCTGTCTGATCAAAGATGGTGACCTTTTCATCTGTGAGACAGACAGACAGACAGACAGACAGACAGACAGACAGACAGACAGACGGCGTCTTTAGGGTCATCAAGGAAGCTGTTTGTGTTTTATGTTATAATCAGTTAATAATCATACCAGAATATTAGGGATGCAGGCATGGATTTCTTTTTTCAGCCAATACAATAACCAATAATTACCCGCTTCTCATGGCAGATAGCTGTAACTGATCATTTCAACAGTTCTGATTCTTCTAATGTTCATTTATTCTTTTTAGTAAAGTTCATCAAAAAAACTTCATAAAGCATATCAATCATTTTGCATAAGATTTAAAAATGATTTATTGTTATGGGGCACATTTGTCAGCTGTAACTTAATGATCCCAATCATTTATAATAATGCAAATTTTCCATTATCAGCTGATAATTTATCTGTCCCAAGAGAATATTGAAATAATGATTAATATGAGGCTATAACATCAGAATAGTAAACAGTAAACATGCTCAGTGAGGTGTCCTTTAACTCTCCATCTATCAACGCAGGCTTTAAACTGGAGCTGCTTCATTTCAGGCTTTATGCTAAGCTAACAGTCTCCTGGATGTCGTCTCATATTTAACAGACAGACATATGGGTGGTTTCAATTCATCGATCATCTCCTGGCAGGGACACAAAAAAAGTGTATTTTCCCCACAAGTTGAACTATTTCTTTAAAAAAAGAAAGACCACATTGATGCAGCAGATGCAGAGATATTCTAACCAGTCACTAGTACGAGTCAAGCTCCAAAAACAATAGATCCCATATTTCCCAATATGCAACTACATAACATCTTTTTGTTAAATCCTTGTTGCCAGGTACCCATGTCTTTCAAACTCCACAGATCCAGTTTGTAATATCTGTAACACAGGCTCTCCGTTTAAACTTTTAAACGGTCAAGCTCAAGCTGAGATAACCCAGAGGGCATCACTATGACATCACCAGTGTTATTTCCCAGACTTGACAAAGCTCCTCCAAAGCCAAAGATTATTTATTATACAATCGGTTTCTTAGCAGTACAATCAGTGGGATGCCCCTTTAATTTGAGAAAAATAAAACCTGTTTAAGAGTTTAACCATCTGTCTCACCTTCTCCTTCCTCCTCTTTCTCGTCTTCGTCATCTTCATCATCGTCGTCTCCGTCTCCCTCCTCCCCTGAATCGCTGCTGCCCTCGTCCAGGATATCTGTTGGGACGTGACAGCTGATTAGTTTGACTGTTAAGGAAGTAAGCGCTGATTGGACAGTGCGATGTTTGTGCGCATTCTTACCTTTTTTAATGGTTTTGTATTTCTCCTCGTTCTCCAAGAAGTCTGGGTCCATCTTAAACACATCTGAGTGAACACACACACACACACACACGTACATTAGGGCGTCAGATATATATACTTATTTCTGCAGAGAGAGTTGTAGAGCCAGGTGGAGGCCCCCCCCCGATCCCCCTCTGGAGCTTACTTAGGATGTCCTCTGTGTTGTATTCGTCTTCCAGTGGCAGCATGTGGGTGAACTGGTCTTCCTCATCTACCAGGTCCAGGCCCTCTGGGATCACTGGATGATCTTTGAAACCGTCCTTCCTGATGGCAAACATCACCTCGATCATGTACTGGACCCTCTTATCAATAGCCGACTCATGGAGGACGTTTCTGAGGCGCTCAAATATGGCTGAAGAGAGAAACAAGCAGAATTTGTAAGCACTTGATAAACTGTGCTGATATTCATATTTTGTGTTCTTTTATTTTGGAAACGCAGACCTTTCTACAAATACTGTTTAGTTTAACAGAGCATTAACCGTTAAACAGAGTTTATGGTTGCAGCTTCAGCGTACCATTGATTCCTCGCGGGGACACCTCGGTCAGTTTGAGTCCACACTCCTTCAGGAAGGCGATGGCGACCTCCACGCTGTCGTCAGTGGGACGCTCCAGCAGCAGAGTGAGCATCTCCAGACACAAAACCTCGTGGGCCTGAGGGCGAGGGACATCGGAGCAGACAGAGAGAAAGAGAGAAAGAGAGAGAGACGTAAACACACTTTATTAGAGCTGAACATCTACACTCAAACTGTCCATCGGTATTAAGGTCAGACAGCAGGACATACCACATTCTGGTTGATGAGATGCGCCACAAACTTTGAGGCTGTCAGGCACTGTTGCTGGAAAAACAAAACACAGACCGACTTTAATACATTATGTGTCACACTACCTGTCGTTCTCTGTTGATCCACTAATCAACAGCTACAGACAGACATACAGTCAGACAGGTACCTTGAGGTTGCGGCGGTAGCTCTTCCTGAAGGTCAGGATTAGGCGTTTCAGGATCAGCTCTCCGATCTGAGGGAACTTGGAGTTGATGATGGCGACGACGGCGGCGTAAACATGAGTAAAGATTGGAGACGCTGCCTGGGCCTGCAGCACCGAGCGAGACAGCAGACCCCTGAAAGACAGAGACGTGGGAAGTCAGACAGCACATAACCTCCAGACTTTTCTTTCTCTTGTGGGATAGCAAGACAAGAAAGTTTCTGTTTCAATTTCCTTAATAAATCTCACTAATCAGGAAGTTTGATTTTAGCCCTTTATGGCTCCCTACTCATCTGAAAGAGCTAGAACAAACTGTTTCACTGCAAACGTCACACTTCTAACACTACACCCTCATGTGTTTGTGATATTTTTAGTAAGAAGCTGACAAATAATTAGCTGTTTTTTAGATTATTGGAATATTGAGTGTTAATGTGAAGTTGTATGTTATTGTTCACCTTCCCCTGATGATGTTCTCCTGCAGCAGCTCCTGGATGATGTGGACAATGTTCGACACGTTGACTTTGTTGATCAGACCATTGATGGACTTCTTCAGAGCCTCCCAGCTCATTCTCTGATAGGCCAGGCTGCACAGAGGGCGGGGAATCAGCAACAACAGAGATTCCAGAGTCATAACAGAGAGTTGCCAGTGTTTCCTCTAGGATTTTTTTTTTAGCAGTGGGGGCAGGCCTGTCCGAACAACCCCCATCCCGCAGAAATATAACAATGGCGGGCCGCCATTCCAAAATCAACATAGAGGAAACACTGGTTGCTGTTGTTTTTAATGCAGCTGGGTGAAGAGACTGTTTGCCAGGATTGTGTGTTTAAGAGTTAGTAATGCTAGAATATCCATTTACAAATCAGTGCAATGAATTACCACATTCATATTTTTATTTCAACAACGGTCATGTTCGCTTTTGTTTAGTCGATTAGATTTTATTTAAATACCAACACTCAAATCTCAGATGTCAGAACATCCCTGAATACACCACGACCGTCTGCCTCACCACTCAACAAACACTTAAGTGTTTTACCACGCAATGATAACTTAACTTTGCCCAACAAATAAAGGCCTTATAATAGTTTATACTGAGACAATTCAATGTTTACTATGATGTATTATCTCTCTGAAGCAAGTCTCCAGTTTCCACACGGAGAGTTCCATAGAAATAAACGAAGAAACCTCGAAGAAATAAAACGTACAAACTCATGGATGATTGGAGAGTGACCAGCAGAAATGTGAAGTGTACAAGATTTGCACTTTCAAAAGAAAAGAAAGAAAAAGAAAGAATTAAAAAAACTCTCTCACCTGCTCTTGTCAGTAATTTGCTGCTGCATCATGCGTAGCTTTGCTGGGGGGATGTAAGCGCCACCGGTCCTTGTCAGGATCGGGTCCAGCTCCTCCTTCTTCTTCTTGACTGGGGGCTCTTCGGCTGCCACTGGCTCCCTTTCCGGCGGAGGGGAAGCCGAGCGACCTCGCCTCCTGTGTTCTGACTCCACATCCCGGTTGGTCCGCCGGTCAAAACGACCGCCCCTGTCGTCACGGCGATCGTCATAGCGATCCCTGGGAAGAGCAGAAAGTTTAGTAGCAGCAGTAAAAAAGGATGAGTAGAGATCTGTGAACGTATTTAGTATTTTAGTGTGTTAAGAGTATTATGTGTAGGACGTTTTATAACACAATCACTAGTTAGTATGTGTGTGTGTCTGTCCGGTACCGAGTATAGCGTCCTCTGTTGTAGCGATCCCAGTCTCTCTCTCTGGACCTGGATCTGTCTCGTCCTCTTGACCCGGACCTGTCTCGTCCTCTTGACCTCGACCTGTCTCGTCCTCTTGATCCGGACCTGTCTCGTCCTCTTGACCTGGACCTGTCTCGTCCTCTTGACCTGGACCTGTCTCGTCCTCTTGACCCGGACCTGTCTCGTCCTCTTGACCCAGACCGGTCTCGCTCTCTGGACCTGGATCTGTTTCGCTCTCTGGATACAGATCTATCTTGCTCCCTGGACCTGGACTTGGATCTTGATCTCTGGAAAACAAATAAACAAAGAATGTCAACAGTATTTCTTTCAGTCTTCACGTTTTTTTGTGATCAAGTTTTTATTTTCCATTTTTGGATACTGGAGGTTAAATCAACAGAGAACTTTAGCCTTACATAATAGATCAACAAACATAAGACATTTCAAAATAAATTACAAGCACACAAGCATTCAATCAGCTGTCCATCCAGTCTTTTAAAAATTCCCCCTCCCTGAAGTGTGAGTTCAGCTAAATAGGACGAACAACACAGCAGCTCTGAACTTAAGAGTCAGTTCCTACTCAAAGTAAAAGCTTGTAGGTACCTGGGGAGTTCATGTCTAAGATGACAGTAATGGGCACACAGTTCTCTTCTATTTGTGATTCTGTCACTCAACAAGCTGCGACTTTATTCAGCAGGTCTGTTATTAAGCAGGTCAGCTAACTTACCCCTTGCTATTTCATCTCACAAACAGGTCTTCATGTCAAACCTTGCTCTGTTGCCATGGAAACTAACACAGCAGACCAGCCAAGTTTGTTAGACCACTTATCCAGAATTGTTAAATGTTTAGTGAGGCCAGACACCTCAAAGCATGAATAACAGCCTGGATGCAAAGTGAGCATTGCATGGTGGCTACATTATCGGAATGCTGTGGCTCGCACGCCTTTCTAATGTAAACATCAACGTCAGTCCCTGCTTACTTTGATCTGAGCCACACTGCTCCTAATCTTCCTCAGGGCCCCATGATGTTCATCCTCATCATCACTGCTGCTGCTGCTGTCTGAGCTGCTGGAGGCAGGGCTCCTGGAGGCGGCACTGCCTGCAGGACTGGCCCGAGGGGACGGCTTCTCTTTGGGGCTTCCTTCAACGGAGTCGGCTTTTTGAGGCCTCTCTGCTGTTGGACTAGACTCGTCTTCTGAAGGTCCTGAAGACAGGGAGAGGGAGCAGCATTGTCAGATGAATATCAACACCACAGCACAACAAGTACTGCTACTGTTACTACAACAACATAAAATAGTGAAAGCAGGTTTTACTCACCACTGTTTTCTCTCTTTGCAGGACTGGGACTTCGACTTCTGCCTGGAGAGTCCATACCTGAAAAACACACGTACACATTAGTGATTATAATTAATAAGTGTTATTAACAGCCATCTTAAATCCACATGTACACAAAGAAAAGCAGAAAGATTCTGTTGAATAAACAAGGAGGCCTGTTTATATCAATATTTCAATTATTTGTCATCTAATCCCACAAAAGATCAAAAACCAACAATATGTCTCCCATCTTTAAATACTCTCTGGCTTCTCCTCCATTGTATCTGTTCCTACTGGAGGCATACTGAACATTGCTTAAATGGTTATATATAAATAATACATACTTTAAGTTAAAAAAAAGAGGAGGGTAGTTTCCTAAAACAGCTAGCCACTGTAGTTTTTAATTAACCATTACTCAAACAGGAGAACATTTTGTGGGACTATTTCTTAGTTTCTACATAATTTACAGGTTCCCATCTTCACTTTTCATGGTTTGGGTTTGCAGACTGACAACAACCTGCTACAGATAAACTTTTGGGCAGCTCTGAGAAACTTAAAATAACCACCAGAACAATCAAATCAAGCCAACTCCAATATACTAGATGTTCTCAATCAACTAAGATGGAGACTTAATGTGTGAATATCCCAATGTTACAGCAGTATGTGGATATTGTTGTTGTTCGTGTATACACTCAACAGGATAGCACCAAAGCCTAAAATTTAAGATGCAGGGATCGTCAAAATAATTGAATTAAATGAAAGTGAGAGTTGTTTTATTTTCTGTCTATAATCGTCTAATTACCAGCGTTAGTGTTGTTATTTGTCTATGCTGTCTCAGTGACAGGTGTTTGCGAATCACAGCAGACAGAAACTACTTACACAGCTTCTGGTGATTAGGTTTAGATGGCCCTTTGAAGACGTTGTTAGATAAAGTGTGTGTAGAGTTACAGATAATATATATATATATATACACATATTAACAGAGCATTTCTTCCACCGGGTAAAATACAGTAAATATCATAAGCCCGCGCGTCGTAATAAGTAATTTAATGTAACTTTAGGTAGGTTGTTAAAGTAATAACACTATCTGTAATTGCTAAACAAACTCCAGTGAAGGTCTCAGTTTTATCGCCATGTGTGTTTGGATGAGCTAAAGTTAGCTAGTTTGCTAATCCTGTTATAGCTCCAGCTCGTTAGCTAAGCTGCTAACACTTTGCTAGTCTGTCGCTAAAAACTTTCTCTTCTCCGTCTTTGAAGAGAAACTCTGTCCTCTTACTTTATTTTCTGGCCTTTAATATCCTCTTACCGTCAGGGTTTCCGACTTTTCGCCCCTCCGTTAAATCAGTGTCGTTCTTCTGGCGGAAAACTTCCTACAATAAACTTAAACACTTCCGGGTCGGGGACCACTTCCGGATTTCATAATAAAAGTTTCCACGTATGAACTGTTTTCATATCGCCTCCCGGCGGTGATGATGATGATTATAGCTCCTCCAACGATGTTAGAGCTCAACCAGGTGAGCCACAAGGGCGCCCCCCAGTTGTAAAACAGTTGAATTATATCCAAATTAAAAATAGTGCTTGTTGCTTCATTTTAGTGCTTTGAACATTTGAAATAGTTGAAATACTGAAACAGCTGAAGTTGTAGTGTAAGTTAAGTGTATTGTAGAAGTAGAGTAAGCACTGAATGACACACTGCACTGACACTGAATGAGTCCAAGAACTGAAAGGAGTTTAAATGTCAGGTGTAGTTTATTTTATAACAATGCATCCCATCGTATAAGCTTAATATTGGTTTTGTATATAAAATCTTAACCTACAAATTAATACAAAGCTATTTATAAGTGGAGTCCAATAACTATTTAAAAAGTGTATGATATCCATCTGAAATGTAAAGCACTAGAACTATAATATAGCATAAAATTAAAATACCCAAATAAAGTAGAAGTAATACAAAATTGTGATTAAGTACCATAGCTACCTGAGTAAATATTACTATAAGTACTTTCCACCACTTGTGCAACCTGGCAAAGATAATGGCTCTACTAGTACTTTCTATATCCTTGTGCGCAGGTCTAAGTCTGCAAACGACTGTTCCACTCACTCTCTCTCACTCACTCACTCACTCCCCCACCACACACACACACACACACACACACACACACACACACACACACACACACACACACACACACACACACACACACACACACACACACACACACACACACACACACACACAGCAGTATCAAGTGAGGCAGCACTCATGTGTACTGAAAATAAATACATCTTTATTACTCTTATCTCTACAGAGTGATCCCTCCCCTGCATCCCACTGACAAGACATCAATACAAAATACACATTATTAATAGACATCAATAGAAATTAATAGACACCAACAGTGAAGTGTAATTAGAAGTGTGTGAAGGATTCAGGATCAATACAAAAAAAGTATGTGAAGCCTCAGAGCTCACAGTGAGTGTTGGTCCAGCAGAGCAGTTTGTGATCAGTGAACATGAAAAAAAAAAAAAATAGGTTTTCTAAAAACACAAAGTCAAAATGGTCAGAATCTAAAGGTCAAAGGGCCATTTAATAATGGGTGATGATTTAAACATTCACACCTGAGCCAGCTCCATCAGCTGAATAAAGACTGACTAAAGGCTCAGAATCATTAATACGTAAGTGGACCTTCAAGCTTAGAATCCATTCACCATAAATTGCTCCCAAAATCATAAAACAAACAGCCGCAAAACACTAAGTCAATACATTTTTATCCAAAGGTTCAGCTTTCAGTAGATACTTTCAAATGTTAGTCTGTGTGGAAATTTTGTATTGATTGACAGGTGATCACACTCAGCAATGGTTGGTGCAGAGTGATTGTTTCACCTCAGCTACTCCCAGAGTTTTTCTGTCTTCAATAATGGATTGCATATCTGGAAACCTGTGACCACACAGACACTGTGTTGATGTTCAGTAATCGGGGATTAGTAATTCATTGTTCAGTGAACAATCAGTTCTGTGGATTCTGTGCAAAGTAGGAAAATCGCAGTTTTTCTCAATAAAACCAGCAAGTTCCAGATTCATTTGTATCAGACATCTGCATGATGACTGATCACATCTGAAATGTTAGCAGTGATTAACTGATTTATTAACAATACTCTCAGTAATCAGTATGTATGTTCATATTACGGCATCAGATAGTGTGAAGCTAACATGCTAATGCAGCTATGGTTGGGACTACTCTGCCCACTCACCCATAATGGCTAATCTCCTCCCTCTGACCAGTCATCACATCATCATCAACATCATCATCATCATCACTGTCGCCATGACAACTTACCTAAAACCTGCTGCTAAGCCTAACCTCCACAGTACCTCATGACATCACACCCTAACCTCATCACCTGCTCAGGAACAACCAGCACACACACAAAGCACAGACTGACAGACTGAGTGTTAAAGGAATCCTCTCATTCAGGACGGGATTAGCCTAGCTTAGCACAAAGACTGGAGACAAGGGCAAACTGCTAGCCTAGCTCAATCAAGACAGAAAACAACCCACTGTACAACTCCAAAGCTGTCTAATTTACATATCTCGTATCTTGTTTATTGAGCAGCTGTAGAAATAGGAATATGAACTGAGGACATTTTGTCTTTAGCAGTTGATTTGTTGGCTAACAACTGCTGCAGGTAGTGACTGCACACAGCATCTAAAACGCTGTCCTACAGGCCTGCTTTCAGTACAATTCACACAGGTGTCTATGATACATAATATAACAAACACTGATATCTGGTTTTAAGAGCGCTGATTCTTATATAATAAAATTACTTTTGGCGATGATTTCTCATCTGTTAAAATAACTAAAAACACCTACGTGAATGAACCTCAGGAGGACCAGGGCTTTTAGCTAGACAATTTCACAGTACCTCGGTTTAAAATGATGTCAAAGTTAATAATGTTACAAATATTTTTTGATGGAGTTGTGACTTTCATTCATGACACAGTTGTCTGGTCAACTCACCAGCAAGGGGAGCGTCACATCAGGGAAAAAACAAAGACATTTCAGAATCTGAATCTGACTTACTCAGCTGTGAAGGAGGCGAAAGGAAAAGAAGCACAATAACAGTGATGATGATGACGATGATGACGATGATGATGAAGGAATGTTGACATCTGTAGGATCCCAATCCCTTAATTATATACATCAAATCCCTCTTTTAACTTTTTACATTAGAGTGAAATGTGCATGGAATGAGTAACTTTAAGCAGTAAAAGCTCAGTTTAACCCTCAGCAGGATCTTATTGAAGATGAAGGACAGTAATGCTTTCATAAGGCATGAGAGCACAGATTCAAACATTATTAAGGCATTTACAGTATTTGTAAGGGAAGTTGGTCTGTTGCTCTCTGAACATGTTTAAGGCTCAATTAAGCCAAATCACTTTCCCCTCCAGTTGTATCTCTCCATGCAGATAGTTTTTGTTTTAACAGCCCATCCCAATACCACGGAAGACAAAGGAATTTCATTTGTGTCTAAAAGGAGAATGACATTTAAAGTTAGAAACCTTTACATTTTCATTAACCCGGTTGTTGATATTATTTGTGATCAGCATTTTTCAGCAATAGCCATTCAATGTGATGACATTCTGTAATTGCTTCTCTGTATGACAGTGATCATTGTTAAAGCTGGAGTCAAATGACCTACCTACACACAAGGGATTTACAGGAAACGATGCATGTAAGCATGTAATCCAGCATAATTCCATGTCATTGATATTAGAGCCTCAGTTTACCGTTCACCCCTACAGCCATATCAGAACTGGAAGTTACTGCTAATGCTAACACAACATGTTAACACAACCTTTGCTGTATTGGGGCGTAGGCAGGAATGTCAAAACTTGTCACCAAAAAAGTGCAGGGAGGTTAGAGAGGAAATATGTCTTTTTTCTCATTTCGGTGTAGTTCTTTACAGTTTGTATTGACTACATTTAACCCTGATTACTTCATGAATTTTTCACAACAGTGTTCTAAACAAACTGTTTTCTGTACAGTTTGTTACAGTGATAAATATCAAAAATAAAAGTTAAAAGCTACTGATCGTATTATTATTATTATTCTGATTATCATCATCAGGACATAACTTGTGCTAATGTCCTGACCTGATCACTAGTAGTGGTGGTACTAGTAGAGTACTGTCAGCTGTACAAGATGTAGTACTAGCAGTATTAGTGGCAGTGGTAGTAGTAGTAGTTCAAGGCCTGGCTTTGTTAGAAAAAGGAAACAGGAGACGCGAGGAAAAGACAGTACATCATTGCTGATGGTTCACAGGGACAGGCTGATCCTGACTGGCATTCCCGACTGGCATTCCCAGCATGCATCACACCAGCACACTAGAACCAACCAGACACGTAAACATCCTCGTCACGCTCTACGTCCGGTCTGAAGTTCCGCCCTTCACCTCTCACTAACGAGCGCACTCGTTAAGAGCCGGGCGGTCCACAGGTGGGGCTGGCGAGGTTTATCACATGTAGGTGATGTGTTCATTTCAACATCAGTGTTACAGACATACAGTGTTACTCAGGCATACAGTGTTGCAGACAGACAGTGTTTCTGCTCAGGCTGTAGTTACTAAGGCTGAACGTGAAAGGGTGAAAGCTCTGCTGTTGCTATGGCTACAGGGGGTGTTGCCTTGCAGGCACTGGCGATCGCCGTGGCGACACAGTAGCCAGCAGCTCGCTGTAGATCTCCCGTCGCACCTCCTGCGCCACGCTCTCTCGAATCTGGAAAACAACAGAGACACAACTGGTAAAACAGCTCCTGGTTAACAGTTAAACAGCTGCTGTCTTAACATTAAATTAACGAGAATGTGAAAGATGAAAAAAATGGACATTGGCTGTATTTGGAAATGTTTTCCCCTCTATACACACAGTGAACATTAAACATTTACATAACGACAGTAATAAATATAAGAGTTGACTCTTTAAGTACTAAATTTACTATAAAGTGCGACAGCCTGTTACCTCTCTGATGAGCTGCTGTAGGTTATCCACCCTGACTCCTCCTGCTGCTCCCTCCACATCTGGTATGTTTCCTCTTCTTCCTCCTCCTCCTTCTCCTCCTCCTCCTACTCCTCCTACCCCCCTGTCCCTCTCTCCCTTCTTCTCCTCCTCCTCTTCTTCTTCCTCAGTGTGTGTGTTGGGTCGAGGCGGGGGAACGGGTGTTATGTTGATTGATGCCCGGTACACGCCCCCTCTCTGCTCCCGTTCTTCTCCTCCTCCTCGGACTGGACTAGAGGATCGAGAGGAGGGGTTGGTTGAGGGGGTGTGACCATCATAGCTGATCTCTGATTGGAGGAAGAGCTGCTCTCTGAGGAGGTCTGACACCTGGACAGACAGATGGATTGGCATTGACATAATTACATTAGGACAAACTTGAGCGTTATTAGCTTTATATAACAAACGTGTGTGCACGCGAGCGTGTGTGTGTGCATGCTGACCGGCTCCATTGCTCTCAGTGCAGAGGCGGTGGACAAAGTGTCGACACTGCTGTCTCTATGGAGACCCTGAGGAATAGAGAACAGGATTGACAGTATCACTACATAGCCACATTAGTCACACAATCTGTAATCACAAATTTTTATAGCCTAACGTGTCGGTGGCGTGTGTTGTGTGTTGTGTGTGTATTTATACCCCTATGTTGTGTCTACATATGTGGGTGTATATACCCTTTGGTTGTGTAGTGTGAATATACCCTGTTATGTGTGTGCATTACTTTCTATAAAGTGTGTATGTACTCTGTTTTATGTGTGTATACCATGTGTCGGAAGTAGTGACCATTGTGTGCATACGTATATACACAGTCTTGTATGTGTTGTGCGTTGTGTGTGTGCTGTTGGCAATAACGTAGTGGAATAACACTCTCCTCCTCTGCACTTTAACATAACACTATGATTTGATTTTTGGCTAAATGATTGTCCTGTGTGGTCATTGTGGAGGAAGTTTAGAGGACTTGCTTAACGTCCAATCTGTTCACATGGTGTTTATTCTTAAGACAGTGTGATCATTGACTCACACATAAAAGAACCCATTTCTACAATTTCCAATTTAATTTTTTTAGTGCCCGCTCACACCTGCGCCTGCAAGATCTGCGTTGGGTCCCTGCAGGATCCCAATCCCAATGCAGTCCTCTACCCTGCGTTTTTTTTGTGTGTGTGTGTGTGTGTGTGTGTGTGTGTGTGTGTGTGTGTGTGTGTGTGTGAATCGTGTGTATATACCCTGTATTGTGTGTGATGTGTCAGCTCCATCAGTCTGTCTTCCAGCTGTTGTTCCAGCTCCTGCAGCTCCTCTCTGACTGCCGATCTTAGAGACTGAAGCTGCTCCACCTCCATCCTGCACACACACACAAGGTTTGTTTTGTGTTGTAGTATAACATATCAACACAGTCATGGTTACTGTAAAATATGCATCTGTTTGCTGTTATGAGTCACCTGTCAGCAGGACTCAGGTGTTTGTAGACCAGAGCCTGCTGTCGGATGATTGACAGCTCCAGGTCCATCATCTGACTGCGGAACAAGTTCAGACTTCGCCTCTTCTGCTGAAACTCTGCCAAAGACTGAAAACATACAGAGACAAAGTGAAACACACTTTACTGATAGCAATAACAACAGTCCTGTCAGTTACTCCTGCATGGAAACTAGTTAATTCTTTCTACAAACATGCAAACTAACAGTATGTACATTTTAGGTTTTAGTGAAAACAAACTGGAGGAGCGATGAAGGAGGATGACAGTACCTGGTGGCTGGGCAGAGCTGCTCTGTGCTCACTGAACGTGTCCGGTGTGTCGGCTCGGTTCTAGATTGAGAGGAAAGTGAAGTTAGGAACTGGAAAACAACAAGCTCCCAAAAGGATCAGTTAGAGCTAATATAGCCAAAACAATTCACTCAAAATATGAAGATCACTAAACTAGAACTAGAACACTGCGCTCTGTGAATGCAGGACTACTTCAGGAGCCAGAGCCTTCAGCTACCAAGCTCCTCTCTTGTGAAACCAGCTTCCAGTTTGGGTTCGGGAGACAGACACTAGCCCCCTAGCCCCCCGTACCCCCCCTCTCTCTAACCCCAACTGGTCGAGGCAGACGGCCACCCACCTAGAGCCAGGGTCTGTCCAAGGTTTCTACCTCATAAAAGGATGTTTTTTCTTGCTGCCGTCGCCAAGTGCTTCCTCGTGGTGGGAACTGTTGGGTCTCTGTAAATAATTTTATAAGGAGTACGGTCTAGACCAGCTCTATTTGAAAAGTGTCCTGAGATAACTTTTTGTTATGAATCGGCGCTATACAAATAAATAATTTAATCTAATTTAATTTAATTAAACTACAGGAAGTAATATCATTATCCCTCATATTAGAGAGTGGCTTCAAGGGTCATAAGCAGCAGGGGACAACTGATTTACACAATTTTCCAACCCGCAGAAACAAAAACACGAGTTGGTTGACAGTCTAAGTCTAATAGGGAAACAAGTTTGTTTAACAATATGTATCTCCTTTGTTTAATCTGTAAAACCCAGTGTAAAAACAACATGGGTGATATGTGCCAAACAATCTTTTAGCCCGGGCCTGTTCCAGGAAACCAGTGGAGAATTCAGGAAGTTACTGGTCCCAGTGAGAGATTATTAACATTATGGATGTGCTCACTTTCAATTTTATTTCAAAACACAGTCGTAACTAATGTTTGTTGTCCCATTGAACTTATTTCTATGGCAATAAGGCAAGTGCTACAAAACTAAAACCAATGAACCGTAGTTTTAATTTAATGCAAGACTGCAATCACAACAGACCAGAGCTGAAGTGACTATAGCTTAATTAACAAGAGTTTAAGAAACAGGGACTGAAGAGGACTAACCTGGCTAAGACTCTGAACCGTTCCTCTGATCTCATGCAGAACCTTCCTCAGCTGCATCTCAGTGCTGGACGGAGCAGGAGGAGCGACCCCCGGGTGCAGGCTGTGTTCTGGGGGCAGCGGCGGACAATGGGGGACCAGGTGGGGGAAAGCCGAGGGTGGATTCATGCTGTACCCAGGGTAACCAAGGTAGGGTGAGGCAAACTGCGAAGTGTGAGGAGTGGCATGGTAAGGTGACTGATGAGTGTATGGATGATTGTAGCCCTGGTGGTGCATTACTGGAGTTCCCGGATGCAGGTTGCCCAGACTGGCGCGGTGAGGAGCAGTGGAAGTTGGGGGATGATGCAAGTTGGAGAGGCTGCCTTGCTGGGGAATTGTGGGAGTTGTCGGTTGGTGGAGGCTGGTTAGGCTAGCATGGTGCATCAAGGAGGGGTTGTGGTGGTGAAACAGGTTAGGAAGACTGGCGTATGGCTGGAGAGGGGAGGGGTACTGCGGATGAGGGTTCAGAGTGAAAGGGTATGGGGTGGGGTTAAAGCTGGGACTAGGATTGGGGCTTGGGTTTGCGTATTGAGCTGCAGGGTTAGGATTAGGGTTAGGATAAGGGAACATGGATGGCCCTGGATTCCAACTTTGCTGGTTTTGGTTGGCGTTCATGTTCATTTGGAACTGGCTCGGCTGCTGCTGATTTGAGAAGAGATCAGGAACGCTCTGAGTGCTCCAGGAGTGGGCAGGGCCTGCTGGCCAATCAGGAGGAGGGCTAGAGCTCTGCAAGGAATAGGATGACCTCATCAGGTAGCGTGGGATGGGTTTAGCTGTGATGGGAGCTTCTGTAGGAAGCCTTAGTGGTTTGTTTTTACAGTCAGACGAGGAGGAAGGGTTTATTATCAACGTAGACAAACAGTTGATTTGCCCTTCCTCCTCTTCCTCCTCCTCCTCCTCCTCCACCTCCTCCACCTCTTCCTTCTCCACCTCTTCCTCTTCCTTGTCCTCTTCGGCCTCCTGGGTGTATTTGAAAGAGTACCTTGGCTGGGTGCAGGACGACTGTCCTCGGCCAAACTGGATTCTGACAGAGGACACGATCCTAGAGGGTGAGAGGAGCGAGGAGGGCAGGGAGGAGGACCTCTGCAGGGGGATACCGCCTCGTCCTCGTCCTCGTCCTCGTCCTCGTCCTCGTCCTCTCCCTAGTATTTGAGGTGTATCGTTGGACTGGTGGTCTACCCGCTGCCCTGTCCGGCTCAGCTGGTTCTGTTTGGCTCGGTTCAGAGCGCTGAGAACTGGAGAGGGTGGAGCAGGAGGACAAAGTGAACCAGAATCCTCCATGGCGTGCTCTTCCTGGGCCTCAGGACCCACTCCCTCTGTTGGTTGTTCTGTCTCTGCAGTGGTCTCAGTCTGGTTCTGAGTGTGTGGTGGATCTTGTTCTGCAGCAGACATACTCTGCGTACTCCCCGGGTCTGGTTCAGGATCAGTCCGTTCCCCACTCTCAACTCGCTCTTCATCCTGGATCTCATCCTGCTCTGTTCCCATTGGTCTGTTCAAGGGGAGTTGATGGGCTGTGTACTGGGGAACCTGCTCTGAGCTCTCATTATGATCGTCTTCTTCCCTGGAATTACTCCTCCCATCAGCCTCAGCAGCACCTCCCGGCCTCGCCTCTTCCTGTGTGCCATCTGGCAGATCAAACGCTGGTTGGTCCAGCGCGAGGGGTGTGGCCACATCTTGTGAAGGGTGTGATGTCACAGTGGTCTCGCTGTCACAGCTGTCACTACTGTCCTGCACCTAATTACACATAATTAACAATTAATTACCAATGGTGCAAGAAGCACTCAGATCCTTATTATTATTACATATAAGAACTAATACAACAATATAAAAATACTCCTACTTCAGTCAAAGCATAGAATTATCATCTGTTAAATTTGTTAAAAGTATCAAAAGTAAAAGGATTCATTTGGGGAAAAAAAGGTCCATGTGACTAATATAATTACATTGTTACTAATGTATGAATGTGTAAGTAGCATTTTAACTACTTTATATGAAGCTAAAAGGTTTAGTCCAGTGGTTCACAACGTAGGGGTCGGTTCTGCTACACAAATTTATATACATTTTTTGGACTTCTTTAACCCGGGACACTGTGATAAGCTACTGGGGCGCCCCTACACACTGATTTTTGGAAAAGGAGACAAGCCAAAAAAGGTTTGCACTACCACTTCAATCTTTACCGATGCACTGTATTTGAAAGCTTATCACATGTTTTTATTTCAAATGTTCCTCTGAAATATATATACATATATTTGTTAAATAAATGTAGTTTCTCTATAATATAAATACAAAGTAGCATATAATTGAAAGTACAAGTAGCTCAAAATTGTACTTTAATATAGAATTTGAGTACTTAGTTACTTTCCACCACTTTTAGTAAAACAAGATGAACTTCTGCTGGGAAAAATTAAAGTTAAATTAAATTAAAGTTACCATGAGATCAATGTCACTGAAAAAGTTTCTGTATAATAATGAAAATATAATAGATATCTAGGTTTATCCTGATAAAATAAATATGACAAAATGACCTTTTATCCAAAATGAAGCATTCTTTCAAATGTGGAAAACAACGAAACATAAACAACAAATATGTGATCTGTAATCATTTTTCTGGATTTAAAATTCCCACTTTATAAGGAGGACATTCATTGCCTTGTGCTCTATTGGGGAGAGGGGGGCTAACTCTGATCTACTGCATTACATAAACACTTTAAAACATGGCGGAGGATTTAAACACAGGCCCTCTTTGTATAAGAGAGAAATAAACCCCCAGGCCTTATTTTCATCACAGTGTGCTTGATGCTGTAGTGATATGAGAATCTGCAGAAGCTATGGTGGTTCTGAATGTTTTTCCCTCAGAGATAAAAGTCCAGACTGCCTTACAAGGTTTCATTACACACCATGAAATCATTTTCTACCAGTTCACATGTGATTAATCTGCAGGGACATTTCTCTCTTGATGACATAAGGCTCTGATTGGAATTATAGGAGTCAGTTCAAATAACTTAATGGTCAAAGCTGGTGATCTAAAGTGGCTGCAAAGACAGCAAACAAAACACACCTTCAGGTAGCTGTTGGAGTCGGCAGAGGGCTCCTCAGCAAAGCCACTGCTGTCTGACTGCTGACTGACAGTCCTCAACAGGTCTTAGAGAGACACAGACAATGAAACAATATGATTATTGCAGTACCCCATCTGTGCAGCTGGTGGCAGAGTACAATAATTTATACTGAGAATAAAGCATAGGCATAAAAAGACAGGACAGTCTGTCCTCACTGAGATCTGAGAGAGGTGAGACACAGGAAACAGGCTACATACACTGTCACTGGATAGGACAGAATAGATCTACAATCCTACAGGAAGATACTCAATAGAGATTCTACTTGCAGAATAGGAGGTAGAAAGACATACAGTCTATTTGGCTGTCAAGTGTGGCTAAACCGATTAACAGGTTATAGATCTAAGTGGTTTTAGACTAATTTTAACAAAGTTAAAACATGCCAAACTTGTATTACTAGTCACTTAATGCAATTCCCTTTTTACAGATCAAGCTACCAACAAAATCTGTAAGAAAAGGGCATTTCATTAACACAAAGAAAGAAAGAAATGTTTCAACTTGAGCAAGAAATGTGTGTGGGTTCTAGAGCTTTTTTAATTGGCCTCATAAATAAACAGAGACGAGAGTAAGAAGGAGTGAGACTGAATGGAGACCCACTGGAAGCAAACAAATCGTGCAACATTGCCTCTTCTCGCTCGATGTGTGCTCAACGCTCACAACTTGCTCTCTAGCAAACATTGTATAAATAAGCAACCTGCACTTTCTCCAACAAATGATGTGACGTTGTGCCAAACAGCACTTAGTTTTTGTTTGTATAGCCCTGGAGGCCGGGAACATAGAAAAGAACGTACAACAAAGATCTTCTCCTCCACAAACATTTATTGACACAAGGGAAACTTTCTGTCCCACCAAAAAAAAAAAAAAAAACTAATTGGGGCAATTTCATGAAATATAACTTAACAACAAATGAGCATTATATAAACTATATATATATATATATAAACTGAGATGATAATTCATCACATTTGTTAGATCTCAAAGATACATAGATGCAAAGAGGTTCATTTGAGAGTAACCCTGAAGGAATTGTTTATCAGAAAACTCCACAGGGGCCCTTGAAGTTAAGTCAGACATGAAGGTCAGAAGATGAAATCAGAGGTAAAGGTGAACTCACCGGTGGTTCTGGAAGTTCTGTGCGGCAGAGCCTCATCATCGTTACTCTGAATCTGACAAACAACAAACCAAATTTTAAAAGACAGAAGTGGCTGAAGGTCAGTACTTTCACTCAGATCTTTTACCAACAGGTCAGCCTATTAACATCTATGCTTTATGCAGACACACTGGGTAAACATCCTTGTTCACTTACAGCAACAGACTATCATCATGCTCCTCAGGAGGCTGTAAAGGGACGCTGGCTTTTGAGAGGTTATTGTCTTATGGAGTCCTTTTTTTACTCTGACCTGATTAGTGAAGCGTAAGCTCCACAGGAAGCTGTTCAAATCACACAAACAGCCTGCTGTCTATCTGTTGTGAACTAATGAACTACACCCATAATGATCAACCAAGGCCAGCATTTTCCCTGTGAGCTTTCTGGTTTTAAAATAGGTATATTACCCTTGCCTGCTACGGAAGGCAGGGAAATTTAATCAATAAAGCAATAAATAAAAACAAAGCTGATTTGTTCCTGTGTACTATACACGTAGTGTACTGTACAGCTATGTTTCTTCAGTGGTAACAGTTAGCCATAGTGAAGATAATGGACATGCTGTTGTTGTCTCAGCTCCTCAGGAGGTGTGCTACAAACAGACACACCATTGTGGAAGTCTGGATGACCCAGGGGAACACCTCCTCTGTGTGGGAATATGTTGGAGAACCCTGCGTTGGAAGAGTCCTGACAAATATGACCAAATATAAGTATGAAGAACCCAAGAGAACCCAGGAGAACACTGTACCTCCTCCATGTCGAAAGAGTCTGTGTTTTCTGTGCGAAGCTGGGCAAGCTGGAGGGGGGCCAGGGTGGGAGGAGCTTTCTCTGGGGTTGAGGTCAGGTGCTTCTCCTCCTTCTCTTTGACCGTCAGGGTTCCCTCCTCTGTTCTCTGATTGGCTGACTCGGGTTGATTCTCACCATTGGTTGCTGGTCTGGCACCGCTCTGTTCAGGACTGATAGGAAAGGTGAGATGTTATTGTGCAGTCAGACCAAAATTCACTTCTCATTCATTTCTATGCCGGCTAGACATGTTCACTTCTGGTCAAGAATTGACCTGCCTCTTCCTGGTTGAACGTTGACACGAGAATAAAAAGGCTTTTTGAAAGTTTTTTTCTTCTTCTTTCCTCCACACATTAATGCTCTCACAACCCTTTAGTGACCCTTTAGTTTGGGAACTGGACTAGCTAACATTATCTACAATAACTGGTCCGTCCAGCAGTACCTGTCATCTGTCTCTCCATCCCCGTTGGTTTCCTCTGTAACCGTTGCCAGGGAACAGCTGTCTTTCTTGCGGTTGTGTTTCTGGTTGACTGTATCTGCCTGGTGTTCGGGGTCAGTACTGCAGCCGTCTTGTACTGGACCGGTGTGTGCGTGACCGTTGGTGTTTGTGTGATCAGAGGGGGCATGTCCGTTCAACTGTGCATGCTGGTTAGGTGTGTGTGCCTCAGTTGACTCAGTGGCGGCCGCATGCAGGTTGTGTTTGGAGAGGGTTTTCTTGAGGAGTTTGGCAACATTCAGAGCTGAGTTGGTCCTCTTTGGAGGAGGATGAGGAGACTCTTCTCCCCCTCCTTCTCCTCCTTCTCCTCCTTCTCCTCCTAATAGAGACACATGATGAACAGATCAGAATGAAAAACGCTATCAGGCAAATGAAGTGCTTATTTTGTGAACATAAACTCTGACGAAATACACTGTATTCACTAATGTTTTGTCCATGGTGAAACGTTACTGAGATGAAACAGCCTTTATTAAACAAAAACAGTCACCAAATTTTTACAAAAAAGCTATCCACCGGTGGACTTCGGTGTGGTGGCCATGGTTACCTTGGTCCCTAGGGCTGATGCGTTGGACAGGCTGACCAGAGACCTGACTGTAGAGCTGGAAGAATTCGTTAGCTACTGTAGTCAGGACCTCAATCTGACGGAAACGACCTAAGAGAGACACAACAAAGCAGTGCATTTACTACAAAGTGCTTCACAGAGCACAAATAAAGACAGAGAAGACCATGTGAAAACTACAAACCTCCTCATTTAGGTACTAATGCTAATGAAAACCAAATGCAAATGAAAAACACTGTGCTTCAGCTGCTAGAACTGATTCTTTGGCCACTTGGGGGAAGCAGAAACGAGTTGTGAACACAGTATTGACATAACATCACCATTTAAACTGAAATGTTAGCAAACAGTTACTGATTTACAGATCCTGCAGTCAACAACTTGACAAAACAGGAATCTGCCCAGGGGAGGCAACTCAAAGTGTCAAAATCTATTTCAGGATACATGGTACTTACATGATACAAGTTGGGTTTAATCAAATCACAACAAATTATGTATCAGTCCAGTACAGGAAGACTGGTTTCACTGGAAATAATGGGAACATGGAGGTAAAGAGTACATACACACGGCACAACAGCAATGTTTTTCCCAGGGGCTCCCTAACGGGATAATCCAGACAAGGATGTAGCTAGGTAGCTAGCTAGCTATGTAGGAAAATTATGTCTCCATGTTTAATCCCACCTACAAAGCTCTGATTGGTCAATTGTTCTTCCAAACAGTTGTTATTGAGCAAAACACCAGAGAGAACAAATCTGATATGTAGGCATTGCTTCAGAGGTTTGGCACCAGGTTAACTGGATGACACAATATTGCAGGTTGGAATCGAACCCAGGCCGCTGCCCTTCCTTCTTCTTATTCTGTGGTTGTGTAATTCAAGCTGTCAGTCTCATCTCTAACAGGATGATGACTTGCATACATTCCTTACTTCCGTAATCACCCTCCCCACCCCCTTAATCTCTCCATCCCTCGCTGTCTAAATACTTGTCGGTCGGTTATGAAACAAAGACTTCTGTCTTTTGTAACTCACTCTGATGACATCACCTGAAATACAGAACAGGCCTGCGGTCTCTTATTCTCTCCTCTCTGAACCCATCCTGACCTCTTATCCTAAAAAAGCAGATATGTTGTGGCTAACAATTTTTATTTCGGCATTCAGTTACTTTACTGCTGTCGTGTGAAAATCTTCCAACTTCAATTTTGGCGATTTTCAATTTAATTTAATCATAGAAGAAGAACTGCAACATCTTCTCTGGTTAGAAGAAAAGTACAGTAATTACTATTACAGTGAGTTTACAATGCAGTAGTACTACAGTGAACTTTGGTCAACACTGACATATGCCATCAAAAATGAAAAGGCCGACCTAAACTGAATTTGCCACATTTTTAAAAGGCAATTCTATATGTACAGGAAACATGGCGAGAGAGGGGGAATCACACGTAACAAAGAAAGGTGGAACTAAACTAGGGCTATTGCAATTATAAAGTATAAATCTTATCCACTAGGCTACCAGGAAGATCAGCACACCTTCACAATAAAGTGCAGCTGTATTGAAAAGTGGTCTGATGTGACATTTGAAAGCTATTTAAAATGGTATTTTGCCCAAAACAACACAGCTAAATGTAACTATTCTACACACAACAAAGATGAAACTATCTATGCTCACTAAAAACAAACAAGCTCATAAGCAAAAAAATAACCTTGACATAGAGGTTTTCAAACCGTGGCGGGAGAGTTGAAGAGGGAGCATAGGAGAGAGAGAGAGAAGTGAGGCAAGGACACTGTGTGAGGTAAAAGGGACATATGCATGTCAGTAACAACAGGAAGTTAGTCATTGTCATTGTTTGGCCCGCTGATCAACACAGTTCCCAGTTGGAGCATTAGCAGCGACTGTCACACAGCTCATGGAGGCTATTAAGGTACTTAAATACCTTTAGTGCCTAATTGCCACCATTTGCGTCATAAATCCCACTCATATTTTTATATTTAGCGTGACTGACATGTACACTGACATATCATTACACGTAATTGTCTCTGATCCGTCTTGTCCATTCCGATTAAATGTCCATAAATTCATTTAGAAACCGGAGAAAAAGAGACTCCAGAACTTCAGTATGAAAGTGCCAGTGAAAGTTGTCCGTACATCCATGAATACATTGCAAGCGGGAACTGCTAAAAGCTTATTCGGCATACTTTCCATGGTGCCAATTTGCCAAAATGTAAACAAATACAGGCTAAAATAACCCTCAAGTTGTAGCCCACAGCATAACTCACTGAATCCATGGTAACTCTGCAGCTCTATGGAGCTTTTGAGCTTTGTTTAGCTCCTAGCTTTAGATTCACTGCACATTTACTGTATGGTTAAGTCTCAGTGCTCTCTTTAACCTCATTTCCAGCAGCAGGCAGCTGTAACTTCGTGCCCATGCGGCACAAATCAAAGCAGCTAAAGAGCCAGATATTCTTCCCAAAAGATGGTGGAGACAAAAACAGAGCTAAAAGGAGAGTGAATATTGGATTCTTCAGGCAGAGATAAAAACAACTTCAGTGGGAGGAATATGTGTCTGTCTCCTAGATGTGGAAGTAGGCAGCTGTTTGCTAAAATAGTCTGCTGGTTTTAAGTGCTAAAAAATCAATTGATGAAACTTATATACAAGCTGTAAATATTCTGAAAGAAGCTACAAATAAAGTTAAGACACATAAAAAAAATGATTGTGTCCAAGCTACAAACCAGTCAGTCATACAGCTGAGCTATTTCAGTCACATCTGGACATGACAACAGAACATGATCCTCTTATTTCAGCAGCTGTGTATGATGATAGTAATACTGTGTGAGTCTGTTTCCTGCTGACTGCTGACTCCGCACTAATGCTGATTCTGAGGATCCTAAAACAGGAAGTGAGGAATAAGAGAAAACGACACGTACTCCCTCTTTTTTCTCTTCATCCCAAGAGATTCTTTCTGATGGTGAGAACAGAGCTTACATAACAAACAACAACACACACGTGTCTGGGATCCAGGGAACCGATGGAAGAGTATGAGAATGTTCTGGAAAAGAAGAAAGCTTCCAGGAACCACAGACAGACCAGAGACTGTTAAAGGAGCAGTTCACTTGAAAAAAAGCTCTCGTCCGAGTCACTGCAGCTTTGCGTAAAGTTAGTTAGCGGTTAGTTTTAAAGCAAATATTTACTACATCAGGTATTAAAGTGTCTCGGGGAGTATTACTGTGTTAGTATACTTCAAATTAAGTTCTTGTTCGTCGAACAGCGTCTAACTTTCATCAAAAAATTCCTGTAACTTTCCAAAACACACAATCTAACATTCACACGCTTTATGCGTCACTGGCCAGGTGTGTGGAGGTGAGAAAGTAACCGGGGTTCTCAAACTCTCTCGCTTTCTTTTTTCATTCCTCCCACAAATTCTTTCCTTTTCACGTGTACAACCGAGTGCAACACTGTGAATGCCCTGTAGGAGAGACTGTCCAAAAGGTAACCCCAATGGAATAATTATCACGTCTCGCCCCTCTCTGTGACAGACAGCTTTTCACATTGCCATCAAGTTAGTCTGATGCCATGCTAATTCTTTCTTGAGCATACTTACACCATTAGTAATATATACATCATTTACAAAGTTACACCCAATCGGAAAGCAGTCCGCAATGTCCAAAGCTGACCTGACAATCCTTTTCAAAGTGCCTCCAAACTTCACCTGTTAGTTCAAACAATCTCTGGTGAATTTAAGGGTTTACTAGGGTTCAGACCGAGGCCGCTTGATAGGAGACCCTAAACTACTATTCAATATTGCTACTAACGGCTGACTGTGAACACGTCAGGAGGCGATCTTATAATTAGCTATCTGTAAAAGTTATCTATAATTATGCAAATCATTTGATAACCATCACAACACATATACACGACAGCATGTCAGTGTGGATTGCACGACAGCATGTCAGTGTAGGGTTGCAGCTAAAAGTGTGGTTTCACTTTACGTGGCTTTATGGGTACTCTTTTACAGCTGATTTTTGAGAAAAGCAAATAATTTGAAATCCTTAATAACCTGCATCATTGTATTGATAAGTCTGCATCACAGCTCTTAAAATGTCTCAAAACATGAAGTTGCTGCTGCAACACACAGTAAGCTACATGAGCTGGTAGCAAGCTAGGTAACATCATAGATGACTTTACACCAGAGATTGGATTTAATCTGATATCTGTGGTGGATGCGGCGGTGCCAGGTCACATGACTTCTTAAAAAAAGTATGTGTAAGCAGATCAGGACCGCAACTTTTTACTTGTGTTTACCACGGCCTGCAATAGCAACTGGAAGTTGAAAGACGAAACTTGAAAGGGAACAAACAAACAAATTGACCAGCAGTCAATAAAACTGGTGAATAGTGACAAAAACAGAAATCTGTTGCACTGAAAAGATACAAATTCTAGTAAAAATCTGTTCAGTTCATGTTAAAGTGCTAATTTCTACTACAGAAAACTCATTAACTGTGTTATCCACTTTAAACAAACAACAAAGTGATGAGATCCAAGCGTAAAATCTAACTTTTGCAGACCTGAAGTACTTTCAGCTATGGAGTGTTCATCTTCTCACATACAGGGGATCTTTTTATGGCAGACCGTTAAACTGTCAAGAAGAGCTGAAGAGATTCAGCCGTGTGTGTCTGTTTAATTACGGAGCCAGTACCTTCATGCACACACGAGTTTGAAAACAAAAAGAGGCCAGGATGTTAGCGGAGCAGGTCTGTGGTTGTGTGTGTGCGTGTCTGGGACAAACAGATCTTTGTCCTTGCTGGCGGTGTTGTCCAGGCAGTTGGCAGAACAGCTAAAAGAGCTGAAGGACCCTACAAAACAGCACAGTAATACTGGGAACAGGACACACACATACACACTCTTTTAGCTTCACTTCCTCTGTCTACAGTTTCAGGACGTGAACTTCTCATCACTAACATGATTAACCCTCCATCAATAGTACTGAGGTGTCGAGGTGTCGGGGTGTTGTGGCCGCTCTGAAACTGTTGGATGATGTAGAGAGTAAAGTACAGTCATGAAAACAAGGACAGATGCAGGAGTAGCACTGTAGACTGGACAGAGGTACATACTAGTCAGAGCGTAGTTGGGGTTCTCCAGTTCCATGCGCTGTAGCTGAGCTCCCAGGTAGACCTGCAGGTGAACCAGAGGAAGTGATATCTTCATAAAACAGTAACGAACGACAGCATGAGGCAGTTAGCACATATAAACATTATACCTGCATTAGCATGTTAACATTGTCAATGGGAGAGGGTTGCCCTTCTGCCTTCGTACAGCCTCACAGAACCAACTGCATGGCTACAGACTCTTAGTCTTCTTAGATTAAATTTAGTTCAGATTATTACATTGGTGAGGACTTTTTCTATATTTTTAATAGACCTAAACATGCCACATTTGTTTTCATTTACAGTTTGTTTTTACAGTGTTGTCACACTGCTGTCATCAGTACCTTGATGTCGATGCCTCGGGCTGAGGAAGTGCTGTTGATGAACCTGGAGGGAACCTTCGAGGCTAGGTCGGGTTCTTCTCGCCCAAAACCAAGATTTAGGAGGATTTCCTCAGGGTCCTCCTCGTACAGGTCCAGCAGCTCTGACACACTGTGGACAAACGCACAGGCACTCAGTCAGTAAGTTAGCCAGCCAGGCAGTCAGTTAGCTGGTGAGTTAGTCTGCTGGTTAGTTTAGTCAGTCTAACCGCAGGGTAAGGAGGATCTCTTCTGGGTGCTCCTCTGACTGCTCCAACACCTCTGAAACACTACGAAAAGACACACAGCCAGTTAGTACTTCTCACACACAGCTTTTAGTGGGCTAGTCTGTTAGTGAGGTAGTTGGTTAATTAGTTAGTTAGTGAGGTAGTTAGTAAGTGAGGCGCTGCCCCTCCCCAGCTCCTCAACAGCCAAACCTAGAGGAGGTAGAGACCAGAAAGAAACCTGACCAGCAGCAGAGGATCAGCCCCCATCTTGCAAAATAGTTTTGTGATTATTTTGTAGCCCAAAATTACCCAATTGGAGCTCATTTTGCAGCAGCTTTTCAAAGAAACCTGCAACTATTGTTGGTTATTTTGCCTTAAGTAAGAGGTCTTGCTGAACTGGCCTGAGTGTGTACTGTTGTCTGTTTGTTGTTACTATTTGCTGTTTGTCATTTGATGTGTACAGTTCTCTGGAAAAGAATTTCCCCTTGGGAACAATTAAGTCCTAATACAGATTGGTATTACAAACTGTTAGTCATTTACAAAGAAACATGACTGTTATAATGACGGTATGTAACAGGTTGTTATACCTGTTTAAGAACAGCTCTGAATCTCAGGAATATCCAGTTTATGGGCTTTTTGTGGGCTAATAGCTGCTAGCCTGCAGTTAGCCAACTAAGCAAGGCTTGTGCCATGTCATGTAATGCTGCCAAAGGTCTCCACAACAGAAATTCTTAATTTTAGGCATTAGATGGTCATTTGAGAAGTTCGGCTATAAAGAGCCTGGGGGTGTGTGTGTGTGTGTGTGTGTGTGTGTGTGTGTGCTGGAGTGCTGTCTGAGAAGACAAGTTCCAGGAAAACTGGACCTCATCATCATGGTTGCAATAAATATGTAAAGATGAGGTTTGATACCAACATTGTGGTGGCTGGTTAAACTGGTCAGCATTCTTCGAGTTTAGGGGGAAATTGTGGGGAAGATGTTTCACAAATTGCAGGGACTGGTTGAATTTGCATTCTTGTGATCAAGTTGCATTCAACTGTGCCAAAATAACTGAAAACCTTATTTTATTTTTCAAACAATGGTGCATTAAAGGTGGTATTACATGACTGGTATGAGCTACTTCTGCAGCTGTGAATTAATTCAGCTGTAAATGTGTATATGTATGTTCTATATGTTTAGATGGATATGAGGCTTCAGTAGTCTGAGTTAGACTCAGGAAGTCCAGTGGATATCATCAGAAACCTGAAAAATGCTTCAATCTCCAGCAAAACCCTGTCACACTGAACACAGCCCAGGGGCCAGTCTCTCAAACCTTGTACAACAGGATGGATCACCCATGATGCATCACCTACAGCCCATTCTGAACTATTACACACAAAACAATACACCATTTACCAAACAACTGGAGCACTGCCCCAAACCTTGTCCACTTAGCCACACCCCCCGCTCTGACTTCATCACCTTGCCCCGATCACCCACCGCCACCAATCACAGACTAATATCCAGCACAGGCAATTAGTTCAACAGTAAGTCCTTGAAACACAGATCTTCTCATGCACCTTAAATATCGAGATATGTATTTAATTTAAAGTATATTGACCACACCTGCGTCATGCTTCAATAACGGAGCTCTGTAAAGGTAAAGATTCCTGATAGAGCAGTGACACTGTGAGCTGTTATCATCATTCAAACCAACCAGTCAAGTATCACTGGGAGGAGCTGAGAAAACTTGGTTCATGTCTTTACGGTTGTAGGCGATACAAGACAGAAGCTTCAGTTGAGACAAAACAAAACCTTCTCACCAAAAACTAACCACAATGGCTCAAACCACTGTGGGAACATCTTTATATATTTACACCTTCATACGTGTTACACACAATGTTGCTTGTGACCACTTAAAATGAAGCAATGTCTACCTAATACAATAGCCCAACTTTTGAAGCTTATACCAATGCTCATATTGAAATCCAACAACAGCATATTGACTGATGTCATTTTTTTTATATTTTTCAAAAAAGGATCCCTTGAATAAGTTTTTGTTTCCATTTTTAAGAAAATTCCTGTGACAAATGAATTCAGTAGGACATTTTAGAGTTCAAAAATAAACTTTTCAGAGTTCTCTGAGTTGAAGGTATGCAGCCTGTTGCCTGCAGCTCTTCATCTTTCAGCTCACTGTGGCTCTTCCATTACTCCCTGACATAGTTAAAACTGATCTAGTGTTGAACAAAAACCCAAAATGGCAGCTGTCTTGTTTTTAGACTAATTTTTAACGAAAAATTGCAGTCAGTGCTAAACTTGGTGACTAATATATTGTGTTTCCTGTGGCTGTTTCACAATAAAAGCCACCACTGCAGCAGCAGTAGGAAATGCTGTGTTAGCATTAGCAATGACTTAACATAGCTCTGATACAGCTACAACAGTAACCAGTGAGATTAATACTGTATCAATAAGATCAAATGACTAAATGGATTACACACATTATTTGCTGTGAATCCCTCATTGCCTATGAAGGCAATTTCAAACTAAAATCCCTTTTAAAATCGTGGGAATGGTGGACTCCGCCACTAACAATAAAACTACTATTAAGAGTAATTACATATCGTCAATACAATCAGTCGCTATTGCTGGAAAAAGCCAACCAAACATAATATCTATAATATCTCAAAAACAGGTTTCATTTCATGAAAATCTTTATATTATTATAACTTTAATATGTTATCCTTATTGTTTCATTTGAAGGATTTTATGGACCTGAAGAAGTGGAAAGTATGCAGTATATGACAATCAGAGGAAAAAAACTGAATAAAATCCCCAAAAACAATTGTAATTTTTGTGTAACTGGATTATTATTTTTTACTTCATCATGTTGTAGCCCATCACTTCTCATCTTGGGACCTCTTGGTTGTGAACAACGGCACTACGTGCCTGTGCCACACACAATCTGTGTGGTATCATCTGATTGGTTTGAATTGAGCGTTAATAACTGCCCTCTGTGTATCACTGCGTTACTTCATGCAGAAACCTCCCTGAGTCTGACGGTGAACTGATAAGACTGACCTGGACACGGTGCTGCTCTTCCCTGATCCTGTGGAGTTCATACTTCTTCCTCTCTCTTTATACCGACTCCTCTTCTGATCCGCCACCAGACCAAAACTACACACACATTAACAAAGAACATTAACACACATTGGCAGAGAGAAAAGAAACTGAGTTATCAACCAGCTAGAACTATTTACTCAATGTAGAGAATAAAAAAACAAAGTGACTCACCAGGATTCAGTTTTATTGTTACTGGACTGAAGATGGTTGGCTGCAGAGAAAAACAAGATAATAAAGATTACTCATGAATCAATAAAAACAATATTTTGTTGATCAGACTGAAGGAAGGCAGAATATTAGCGCTGGACTAATGATAATTTTAATTTTCGATTGACTGGGGAATCATTTGTTGATCAAAATGCTGATTTCCCCCCAACAGATCAAGCTAACTTCTTAAAATTGCTTCTTTTGTCGGACAAACAACAGCCCGATAATCAGATTGAATTGACTGTTCACTAAACTCATCCCAAAAAGAGTGATGCACCAATCTTAGCAACAGTAACTAGGCCTGCAAGGCAAAGGCTTTGGATTTCCCCACATGTTGAAGGTGTGTACATGGAGCTATAGTAAGACTGATGTTCTGCATTTAAAGAGTCTGGAAGGTAGTGTGATTTGTAGCAATTCCAAAACCAAAAACACAAGTGCAAAAGTGTGAAGAATGGATTAATCTTTAATTAATCGGTCTTTATCTGCTCTAACATAAGCTGCACTTATTAGCATGTCTGCTAACTAGCTTACTACCTACAGTAATAAAAGAGTACATTATAGATTAAAACTCAGTTCACAACTAGCACATCCACTGTGTGGAAGGCGGTTCTGGATGTTATTGGAGTTTAGGCGAACGTCAGCGGCTCTGTTGTGCTCTTTCTTGGGGCTTTTGGGAAGTTCACATTCCAGCAACCTCAGATAAGGTTACACAAAATTGTTATGTTTGCCAAACATGAGTTAGTCCTCAACTGCAAAGTCTTTTGAAGACGCAATGTTCAAATATGACAACAGGTTTACATTACATTTTTTATTCATAGTTATAATACTAGGACTACCTACCTAGCTCTACACACAGGTCTTCATCGTCTATATTATCAACTGCTGAAGATGATTCATTTTCTCCTGGGACATGTACTGCAGCTTTAGCCTCAGTCTTTTTGCATAATATTGTGTAAGTGCATATTTAAGATACTTTACAAGATTCTCTTTTTAAATTGACACAGCCAGAGTGCTTTCAATCAACTCGTGAAGCTAGTGTTAGCTTGATTAGCCAGCTAGCTATAGCAGAAATAACTCCCAGTGCCAGTTGTCATTTCAGTAAGCACTATCAACAGTTATCTCTTCAAAACAGCTGCTTTTGTCTAATCAAGGAACCATTGTTTCCAAAATTGTCTCAAAGTATTTAGACGGTTAAACCTGCTGCCATTCAGACTCTATAAATAAATAATGCAGAAACAGATGAATGAAGTGAAAGTCATCACCAGCTGGAGGTGTGACCAGTTCAAAAATTCAAAAGAACCTGTTTGGACCTGTCGCCCTCCCACTGTCAGTCTAAGTGCCTCTCTCTCTTTTCCACTTAATTTCAGCTGAATTTCTTCTCCTTCCTTTGAATCCACAGTGTTTCCTTAGCGCGTGGAAAACTGGATTAGAGGAGCCAAATTTAACAGAAAACTTGCTCCTTACACTAATTCACTAACTCACTTCCATTCAATTGACCCTGAATCCTTTAATAGACTAATTCACTTCCCTCCAATTCACACGTTAACACTTTAATCCCCTCTCATCCTGTCCCGATAACGTTTGGCATCATTACAGCCCATTAGGATCTGTTCATACATGACATCTCCAAGGTCTACTGTTCATCTCAACATGATTACTGTCAGACAAAGCAACCTGCGGAGAGATTTATGCTGATGACAAGGAGTTGACAGAGCCATTTAGCTCACGATCACAGCTCTCATTCAGTTTTTAGCCACATCATGAAGCTATTTCAGCAAAAAAGCTGTGATAAACCCACTGTACACAACCCGCTCAGCACCAAACAACAGACAGAAAAAGATAGTGACTAGTTGGTGAACATAGTAGAACATTTACTCTCCTCAGGAGTTGGTAGAAAATAAAACTAAAATGAGAGTGACTGTTGCATTAATCACGTGGGAACGAAGATCACAAGTTAACTTAGCCTGTTATCTTGAGAACACAAAAGGCTGATTTTCTCAAGATAACAAGATTTGAAGAATCCGACCAAACCAGAGCAAAGCAGCACTGAGAATAACTATAGCAATAGCCAATCTTCTCGCTGATGGTGTTGTTTTTTTATGTAGGTCATATAGAGGCACCAGTATTAAAACGACTCTGTTTTATAAGCAGTTAAAAACGACTTGGAGTATGTTTATTAATAAAATATATCATGAGAATTATTTTCATGCACTTTTTTCTGGCTGCAGTGTGGAAATTAGTATTAGCTGGCATATTTCATGTCATTCCAATGCTACATGTACAATACGCCATCTATGCATGTTAAATTAAGAATAAATCACGACTTAATGCTTTATGTCTGTCTGCAAACGAGCACCTCACCAGAAGAGGCATGCATTTGCCCTCCAGAATCTGTTTTTCCACCAGGTAACTGACGTCTAAATGAAGAATAATTTCTAATGATTTGGTGTAAAGCAAGACAAAGCGTTGTAAAAGTGACTGTATTTGCCAACACATGACAGAAAAATGTTGAGGTGTTTCAATGTTAGCAAGAAATTAAATCAACCAGGTTAAGAAATAAAGCTGGAGGATCGGTTGGAGGACACATTAAAGGTCAAATTACTTGTTAATTAATTATAAACGTGTAAATTATTAATGCTGAAATGACAAATTCCTCACTTCATCACTAGATGTGGCGGCAAGAGAGCAGCTGTTGTGGTCTTTGATACAGTTTAGTTACAATAATAGTTACAGTCGACTTTAATGTGACACCCAGTAATAGAGACTGCTGTTTCTGAACAGAACGTCTCTGATCAAATCTACACAACTTCTGACCTCTCAGCATCAACTCATTAGCATCTATTCAGTCCCAGATTCCCCCAGCTGACCCACTGTCCACACACACACACACACACACACACACACACACACACACACACACACACACACACACACACACACACACACACACACACACACACACACGCGTCAGTGTTCAGTGCTTCAACATAAAGTCATTACAGACTATTGTTCACTCAATAACACATACACTCTTGCTATCAGAGCCATAACTGATGCATTCACAGCAGATCAGAGGAATGATGCAAACACACACACACACATTCAGAGGACAGTCAGTCATGCATGCAGTGTTTTTCCACACCTATGTGACTGTTGACTTTTCCCTCATGAAGAAACAGGACAGAAGAATGAAGATGGAGCGGTGTATCACCTGGTGTTGATTCTACTGACACTGTTGTGTTTGTCAGGCATCTGCCCGTCCTTTACACACATGTGATCAAGCTGCATTACTCATTATATTACAGGATTTTTATGTACATCACATGTAAGGCTGAACAATTCAACATCTTTATAGCAAAATCACGGTTTAAACGACAGCATTTTTCAAATTGCGATTATTTTTTGTTTTTTTTATGAAGTGAAACCTACAAGCCAGTTCAGGCAGGCAACTTATGTCTGCGGGTCTATTTAAGCCATCAGTGCTCTGCTCACTCTTTCTGCATGCCTGCTGCCACACTGCTCGCCTGAAAGCTTTGCTGTCACTCGCTGCTATTCATGTAACATTTCCAAGCCCCACCTGCACTTCTGAAGGTGCTACAGGGTTTGGTTCGGTTAGAACAAACTGCATTTGCCCAGTTAGTGTGGTTCGTTTGGGCTGGTGTAAAGCTGCTAGTTGAAATCTGGTGCAGATTAAACAACCAGATCAGGACCACATTAAAAGAAAAGGAGGGTCTTAGTCTACATACCCTGGTGCAGTTTGTTTGTGGTCTGAAAGCAAATAGAACAACCACAGAGTCTGTTTTTTTTCCTAAAAAGTCTATATTTTGTTATTAGATTGATGTAATGCAAGTTAGATGGTTTCATAAAAATAAAGTCTGAATTTTCTAAAGTCTAAACAGCCACCACTGTGTGGACATTACTAGTAACTTTCGAATGACCAAATCCTAGTTTACCCAGAATTCATAGCAAATTAGTAATGATTAGTAATTATAATCGAGAACAGCTTTGTGCTATAGATGAATTTGGATGTCTATCTGAAGTCTTAGTGGCATCTAAGCCAGTCCAAGTCTTATCTCTGGGAAACTGGCCCATTGTTGGACCAGATAGTAACTACGAACTTACCCTGTATCTCACTCTACATGTATACTCACTGTACCTTTCTGATAAAACAGTCACTGTATGCACTTTGTATGAATTTATTTTTGATTGTTTGCTGGTGGACCTTTTTATCTGTATCTCAACACTATGTATTATTATATTATTTACTTATGGAGATATGCGGGTTGTTGGGGTAGTAATAAGTAAAGAAATAAAGTCCTAACGAACTGCACTCCTCTCCTGTCGGACGCACTGGAATACAACAGGAAGCGTAGCAGACTTCAGCACTGGAGCTGAAAGCATAAAGGGCGCGGGCAGACATGAGGCTGCAGACACAGAGCATGCATTGCCCTGTCTGTCCTCCGTTTCAGTCACACTTTTCTATTTTCATTACTGTTAGGTTAGCAGTTAATGATTCGACTGACAGCATGAGGTTCAAATCAGGAGTTTCTGGACTAATGATTAGAATCATCGACATTTGGGGGAAAGCACTACCAATGTTTATCGTCTAATCTGACTCTGGGTAAGATGGAGAACAAGAGGATTTAACTAAATGTCAAAGTGTTCCCTAAGTTGGTGGCGTCGGTTAAAATCAAAATTAGCAGAAAATGGGGGGGAAACTGAACAATGAGCAGGAACGTGTAATCTTGTTTGTATTGTGAGGTTCTCTCTGTACTGACCTTCAGCTCCCAGTGAAAGGTCATCTTCAAAGCTGCAGCCGTTCCTCAACACTCCTGTTCTCACACACACCCAGAGTACACACAAAGTAGTTACGTTGTGAAATCCCTTTAGTAACATATCACCAATGAATAGCTTGAAGTATTTAGTCAGAAACCAAAGTCCCAGCAATGGAGGAGCTGTCAGTCAGAGGTTGTTTTGCAAGTCACAAGTAAATCTCAAGTCCTGGCATTCAAGTCCCAAGTCAAGACTGTCAAGTCCTAAACTTTGATTCATAAACAAGTCATTATGCACTTTTTACCAAATGTAATGGCAATTTAATAAGTAATAATATATTAAAGAGGCCATATTATGCTCTTAGATTTATTATTTTAAATGGGGGGGGGCATCTACTAGAATAGGTTTACATGCATTAATGTTTAAAAACATACTATGTTTCTAATACATGTACATTGCTGAATCTAATTTAGAAGTCAGTTGTCATCTTGTTTTAGGTGCAACATCAAAGTACGAGTTGGGGAGGGAACACACACCTACAATGGCTGAAACTAGAAATGGATTACCGTGTATTTAATGTAACAGTGAGTTTCCAAATTCACTGGTTTAACTAGCTAGCTAGAAAGGTTACTACGGTGTTCATTTTTTGTTGATCACGGCGTAGTTTTTGTACACAAACTAAATGATCTTTGGCATTATTTTTTCCAACTGGCACACATTACAGTAACGCAATGTTAGTTCTTCAAGGTTCTGTCTTGCAACTCCTAACAAGTTGTATATCCATATTATACAATATAAAAACAACACAGAAAATTTGGATTACCTCTGCTGGGAGAAGCACTCTGATCATCTAGAGAGGCTCCGAGGGGAGTCCTGGACAAGAGACATAGAGAGAGTTAGATATCAACCCAAACCATAAAAATCCAACAGACTACCAGTGCGTTCAGCTTAGCTCCAATTACCGCACAGTATACAGGGCAAAGCACACCGGCTGTATCACTTAGAATCACATAATATGATGCCCATAGCAAGCACTAGATACACCACACTCAAGGGAACACAGTGGCCAGAATGTGGTCTTGCATAAAAAATATTTCTCCCTTAATGCTCCTCTATTGCTACATCAGGCTAGTTTCAAATACACATACCCTGACAAGTACAGTCCTAACCAGGCTAGACTCGCTAACAACGGACCAGGCTAAACTATCTATCCCAGGCTAACTACTGGTCAAACTGATGAATATAATCCCATGCAAACACTAGTTAGTATAAAGAAAACTATAACAGCAAACTAACCCGTTGTTTATTTGAAAATAACTATTCAAAGCCAACTCGTGTTCAGGCTAAATCAATGCAGCCCACACTAGGTACTGAGCAGGCTACACAAACTATCACTGCCTGTCAGGCTTAGGCAAAGTATCCCAAGTTATCTACTGAACATGATGTGGCTAAAAATACCAGAATACCACCTAATCTGGCTTAAGCTAACTTTACCATGCTAGCTGCCTGTCACACTAAGGTTAACTATCCCAACATTAAAAGTATGGCCTGTCAGACGAGGGCCATACCAGCACTAACTACATGTCAGGCAAAAACTACGTAATGCGGGCCAACTGCCTGTCAGGCTAAGACCAAGTACCACTGGCAAAGTGCCTGTCAGGTGAAGGCTAACTATCCAAGGCAAACTCCTGGTCAGTCCAGGCTACTTATTGGAGTCAACTACTGACCAGGCTAAATAAGACTAAACATCCCAAGCTAAATCCTGGTACCTATCCCAGGTGCTCTACTGACCAGACTAGTTGTCCCAGGCTAACTAGCTGACAGATCAGGCTAGTTAAAAGCAGCAGCAAGCTAGCGGGTCTGAGCTGCTGCCTGCAGCCCGACGCTGGAAACACTGAGCTGTTACACAACCTGCAGCTCTTATCAATGGGACAAACTTCATGCCACCATTCAACACACACACACACACACACACACACACACACACACACACACACACTCTCTGATGGTTGTGTAACAGTGCACAGTCGCAGTGTTTGCTATTCCTCCCACTTTCCACCGGCAGCCATGTTGGCCTCAGGCCCCTGCCCTGTGGCTGTTGCTATAGTAACCTGTGATTCTGATTCTCCTGGTCACGTTACCACGGTGATGTTACGTTACAGAGGAAACGTCAGTGCGCTGTAGAGTCGTGGGGTTGTGAGTGACAGCAGCTAACACTGCGTGTGTGTGTTTGATAACAATGTTGACACAGCAGGAGGAACCCCTCCTCTGTTTGCTCTTTCTTTTTTATGCCTTTCTTTCCGTCTTCTGTCAACTTCTTCCTGCGTCCTCCTCTTTCCTTTTTTTCTTCACCTAAACAGCTCTATGTGCCATATCTCTGGGCGTTGGTCTGCTCCTTTTGTGTGTGTGTGTGTGTGTGTGTGTGTGTGTGTGTGTGTGTGTGTGTGTGTGTGTGTTCTGTATGTTGTATGTCTAGGCGTTGGCTGTGGGTCGGTTCTACGTCAGCAGCTGATAACACTGCTGCTAAATACGCACACATACACCTCCAAACACCAGGAAAACATATCAATAAACCAGTAAGAAGAAAATCAGTTAGCCTGTCTGTCACTAAACCAGTCAGACAGGATTTAAAAAACTACTAAGTATGTTTATTTTACTTTCCTACTAATCATGATTAATCATCCATCATTTTTTGATGAATGAACTAGCAGCAACTTGAAACTGGCTCCTGAGAAATAATCCAGTAGTGCACATGTGACACGTAGCACCCAGGATAAAAACGGGACATTAAAAGACATTGATGTGGTCCTTAAATCAGGTGCTGAGTGGATACTGTACCTGCATTCAATCAGCCAGCTGGTTATCTTGTTAGGAACTTGCCCTGACAGAGAGACAGATGAGCATGTTAAAGCAATAAGCCAGTAGATGCCATGTGCAACAGTGATTACAACATGCTATAAAAGCATTACAGTGGTGCCGGACTTCAGGATATAACCCTTTACATTTCAGCTGATTTAAGTTAAGGCTGCAGTTCCACCAGTTAACATCGAAAGGAGCCACATCCAATGCCTCTTAACAGTTTCGTTATCATTCAGTCGGTCAATTATTTTTCCATTTAGTTGTTCAGTAAAAAAGTCCCAACAAAGTTTCCCAGAGCCCAATGTGACGTCTTCAGATTACTTCTTTTTTCTGAAAACAGGAAGGCAGCAAATCCTCACATTTGAAAAGCTGCAACAGCAAAGTCCAAGTATCCAAAGGTTATTTACTATTAAAGAAAGCCAATATGGCTTCAGAGGATTGTGCATGTTAAAACAAGAATAAGAGTCTATAGTTGTGCTAGTGGCTCTGTGAGGATGTACAGTTGTACTTTGAGTTGTACGTCAGCATGCAAACACGCTCACAATGACAATAGCACTAAACAGACAATTAGTTTTGCAGGTATTGGACAAATTATAATTTTAATCTGAAAGTCATTCAAATTCATCCTGTGGGGGAAATAAATGTCTGAACCAGATTTCCCGGCAATCCATGGTGGCGCTACAGGAAGAGACAATAGTAGTCATCCTCTGGGCTTAATCTGGACCAAAGTGGTGGATCAACTGAAGAACCAATGAAGAGTTTTCATCCCTAGAGCCACGCTGCTAGCATGGCTAAAAACATAGGGTGAGGATTACTGTATTTCAGGGATGAAACAGTTGTAATGAATATATGCAGCACCCCATATGTGGTGTTTTGTGTTTTGTACTCTAGTGTCTTTTTGTCTTTTGTCATGTTTTTATGTTCCCAGGAAGAGTAGCTAGTGGGAATCCTAATAAAACCCCTAGATAAACTATGTACTGGAGCTTCTAGTTAACTCAACTACTACACCATTGGTCTTTCTCTTCAATAATTTCTTGTCACTCATCAGCTGACATATACAACAACACTGATATAAATGTCTAACTTTGGCACTCAGCTAAGGTGGATGCAGGTTGGCCTGGCTGTGGATTTTGGATTTTATTGCAGAAGATCAGCAAATACAGGGTTAATTTGAAATATTTGTATGTAACATTTCAGTTACAATGTTGATTTGGTGAGCATTGAGTGCAGTCTAACCTGGTTCTTCTGAGGGTCTCTGTGCTTCCCCATCCCTCTGGTTCTGTTGGGGCTCCTGGGGGCCACAGTGCTCTGGTGCTGATTCTTGCCAGATGGAGTCTCTGCTCTGGGCCCAGGCCCGACGCCGCAGACAGGCTATGTTGCAGTCTGACTGCCCTCTGGGATCTGAAAAATCAATCAACAATATGTGTGACAGCCTGACTGCTATGAAGTCATGAATCAGGTTTGGCAGGTATTCAACCTGACATACAGAAACTGCAACTGATTGAATACAAACACATACAGCAGGTGAGTCAGCAGTGTAAACGATCACACGCATCACTCCTTGCCCTGCATATGTAGGCCACCTAACTGTTCTTTTAAACCACCAGTATGATAACGGACAATAAACACATGACAGAGGGCCCAGCATTAATGGCAATGTAATATCACATTGAATTACAATACATTTGACTCACTCGCAAGGTAAGGAGCTAGGTGACCGCTGTGGACAGTCACCTTCGACGTTAATGAACTTTGACACGTGAGTTTATACCATCAAATAAAGTAAACCAGTGATTCAAAGTTCTTTTTTGTCTGATGTACCCCATCCTGATCAGATGGGATCATGTACCCGTTCACCTACACCACCAGTCAGGTTCCACATGTTCATTTCAACTGATTTTAAAGTGGATGTTAAGTAATACTACAAACTCATACGATATTTTTCCTACAACTGACTTGTTGATTTTCAGGTAAATTTGCTGAAGTTTTTGCGTGGCAGATGCTGGGTCTTCCCACCATTTATCCATTACTTTTAGCTTATTTAACTATTTCAACTGTTTATTCATTACTTTTAGCTAATTTTATCTGTTTAGCGATCTATTTTAATTGCTAATCCATTATTTATGCCCACTACTTTTAGCGAATTATTTCAGCTGTTTAAGTAAGACGACCCACCTGGAGCAGTGCTGGTGTCCATTCCCAGAACTCCACTCTCCATATCTGCCTGTCTGTGTGTCTGTTTGGGGTCAGTCAGTCAGACAGAGAAGACTGACAACTCTACAGCAACATCAGCAACAGGTAACACACCTAGAGAGACACATTAAATCTTCTTCATTCATTTATTTATTGATTTATTTAACAGGGACAGTGTTAATAAGCATTGCTGTAAGTGTGGCAGTTAGTCAAGAGGATATTTTTCATCTGTAGTCTCTGGACAGATGTTACACAGTCATGCAATAAAAGAAGTTCAAGTTGTTGAAATGATTTATAAGCATGCGGAGCAATAAACATAAAGGACATCATTATACTACATTGCTTGATACTAATGAAAACATCACAGAAGCACATGATGCATGACATGTAAAGCAATAAAACTGTAAATATTGTTAAGGGAAATATGCACTAAAGAAGGCATTGTGCTGCCTATTAGGCACTGATTGAAACATGCCAGGCAGAAGCAGACAATACACAGACATAAAAAGTCACACATATAGTACACAAAATACATAAATCACTCTGACACGATAAAACATCAATAACAGACATACAAGAGACAGACTGGCGGAAGAAAGATAGAGATAGGTGACAGCAGACAGCACGGCAAATACACAGCAAAGAGAGACTGACGACAGCCAGGAGAAATTGAGTTTTAACACTGACAAAGCTGCCCACTAATTATTAACCATGTGTTTAATTAGCTCTAAATAAATAGAGTGTGTTCCATCCTGGAGGGTTGAAACAGAGGAAAGATGTTTGCGGTGAGACGAGAAGTTGAGAAGTGGCCTTAATTATTGATGAACAAGTTACCCACACTGAGACCAGCTGAGATCGCACGCACATGCACACACACACACACACACACACACACACACACACACACACACAGGGAGGGTGAGGCGAGGGCTATTCAGTTGGCTGCAATCTGCAACCTCACTGCTAGATGCCATTAAATCCTGCACACCTTTATTTTGGTGCTGACCAGTCACTTCTTAACAGTTAAAATAGCAAACCAGTGGCAGTTAGTAACTTGATAAAAAAAAAAGTCACTTTGGCTGTTGGGTTTTTTTGTCTTTCGAACAATCTTCTCTCTAAACACTACTGGCTCATCCTGTAATCTTGTTGTCTGGTTGTAGTTTACCACAGTATCACATCGGAAATTTGCTCCATCTTAACCAAATGCAGCATTTAATTGCTGCTTACACAGTTATAATAATCAAAGAGTCCATTAATATAAAGCTCAAAGGAACTGTTCTGAGAACTGACTTTACAGTGAAGTAGGAGACATCTTGTGTCCAGCAGCAAAACTTAAGAAATGAACATAACTGGCAGAAAAAAAACATTATACAATATTTCATAATGCATGAATTTTGATTAAAAAGCTTTCCTCTCAGCAGCCATCTGTCAAATTTCAGACATCCAAATGTCTGAGACTCTGCTCTCAACTGTGTTACCACACAATGAAAACACTACTTACTAAAATATAAATATTAAAAGTAAGCAAATGTTGACTTCTCTAAACAAACATCAATCTAAAAACTGAGGATTTTATTAATATTTAGTCAGTGCTCAAAACGAAGCATGTCCCCTTGTCCCAGGGCCAATAAAAAAAAGACACAAAGGTATAGTGTCTGTGACAATTCTGGCACAGTAGAGAAATAAATCATTACAAATGAAATGATTACGTTAATGTGTGTTCGACCTTCTCTCTAACTCTTTGTCTCTGGATTACGGTGAACCTATAGCTTGTATGTAAATAGTTTATTTGAGCATGTAAATATTTAACTAGTTTCATTTTCTCCCTCCGTTTGAGGATTAAAAAAAGACCTTTTTTAACTCAAACATACGTTGTATGCAAATATCCATCACCGTATACCAATAAGAAAAAGATTTGCATTAGCACTGCTGTGGCCAAACACATGGAGTTATTCCAGTATTTTATTCAAATATAAGAGCAGGGAACAACTAGCAGAACCTCCATGGTGGACCAGAAACAACGTTATTAAATTCTATTCATTCTGTTCAACAAGGGACGATGGTTGTTAAGTCTGGCACAGCTGACAGTATAATTCGGGAGCTGTGGGACGATGAGGAAATGAAGTTCATTTCTAGCCCTGCATTTAGTTTATGAAATATGAAACAGTCCAAAACTCAAATATATTCCTTGAACAATGATACAAAACAGAGAAAATCAGAAAATCATCACATTTGAGGAGCTGGAACGAGAGAACACTTTTAGTCATGCTAGCGAAAGAGAGGGTCGGTCCAACACTTTAGTCCAGACCAAAATATTTCAACAACTACTGAATGAACTGTCATGAAAGTTGGTTCAGACATTGATGTCCCCCACAGAACAATACCAACCCCAACCAAATACCTTCAAAGCTAATGAGATAAACTCACCCTAAACACAGAAACTCTTACCCGGTAAGAGAAAGCTGCTGGAGGCCTGAAACAATGAATCGATTCATCAATAACATGATCAACACACACTTCGCTGACAACTATATTTCTAATCTGTAATTTAAGAGATCTATTAAGCAAACTTGACAAAACCAATCTCTAGGTCTGGTTTTCACTGTTGGTGGGACAAGAGAAGTAATCTGAAGATGTCACCTCGGACTACGGGAAGCTGTAACTGACATTTCCTGACATTTTACAGACCGAATGATTAATGGGTTCATTGTAAAAATAACCAACAGATTACTTCTTTATACAAATAAATGTTAGTAGCAGAAAATTCTTAACTCCCTCAGCTCAGTCTTACAGGCGAAAAGGCTACTGAGGAAGGCTGTCTTTAACCTAACACTGTGTACAAACAGAAATGTAATAACAGGTCATTTGGTTACCTGGTTGCTAACAATAGCTAACATGGGGATATAGCCACAAAGTCATTTACTAAAATAAAACTCAATGAGACCAAGAAAGCAGGAAGAGACAATGAAGTGATGAAGAGATTAAACTGGAGCTCGGAGGTAAATATAGAATAATCCTTGTGGAGTTACTGATAAAACACTGAAGCATGCAGCATAATCTAAATGAGAACGTGTGAAGCAGGAAATGAGTGTTTAGAATGAATAACAGAACAACTTCCTGTCTGACGGAGAGGGAAAGAGAGGGATGGGGGCGGGGGCGGGGGGGCTGAGGGAGGAATCGGTTTATTTTTAGATTTCTCTTGTAAATGCAAAACAAAACTGGAATGTCAAAAGACAACAACAACAACGGAGAGTGTGCAGAGTGCATCCTCTCCGACACACAGCCATCACTGCGGAGCTGGGTTTTCACCCTCGTCTCAGTCCTGTTATTCCTTCCCCACTAATGTTCTCCTTCTCTTCCTTAAAGCATCAGACACTCTGCTCCTGTGGGCTTAAAGGAGGCGATGAAGGGTTTGTAGTGTCGTTGTCCACTGAGAACAGAAGCTGTGTTTAGTTTGGATCCTGACATTAAAGGATTCAATGGTGACACGTTTTCAGAGTGGACTGAAGCATCAAAACATGTAGAAAAGGGTTGGATATGGAACCATAATGCTTTTATGGTTCTGAAGGTTGGCATGTAACCTCTGGTCAGATTCTTTGCTTTGTTCACTTCTTATTTGATCAAATATTTAATCACTTAAAAGACAATTTAGCTAATCTAGCTTATTTTTACTTAAAGTTCTTTATGAGGCTTTTCTGTTGAGACCGTGTTAAACTCTCATAACTTTGAGAAAAAACAGAAACAAGACTAAGAGTCCTGCTGAGTGTTATTATGTCTCTTCTCAGTCGGTCAATCACATGAACCCAAAATGCAAGAATTTGCGGGCTGGTGCAATCCATCTTTTTTTGGATTTAAATGTTATACAAAACCAAAGAAATGATAATCTTACCAAAACACAGTCTCCTAATAGCCATTCATGACATAAATGTTGAAACTGTCCAGACCTACGTGTGATGACGGATAAAGAAAATACAGTCTGCTATCTACTGGCCACTAAATTCCTTTGAAGTAGATCAAATAATATTAACAATGTTCTTTTCTTCTTTTATGGAAAGTATTTTAATGTTGTCATTTATCTGCTGTCATTATTGCATTTTAGATGCCTGTATGGAAAACAAATAGAAGGAAGGTTTTACTCCAGAAGCCATTAGAAATGGTGAGTTTACCTTGCGGATAGACTGATAAATGCATTTGCACTTTAGACCTTATCTTAATCCTTGCCTTCTAACATTTGCATCATCATGTGTGTAAAGTTAAGTGTCTATGTACTTGCTTGCCTTAAATTGCCCTTTGAGGGACGTATAAGGTAATATTTAATTTAACTGAACAAAATACAACCTTGCTAGCAGCTTTGTGAGGCTGTATTTTGACACAGCAGTCACCAGAGTTATTATGATTCATCCTGAGGGAAACATGAATATCTGGACTAAATGCAACAGTGGAACAACAAGCAGATTTACCTGGTGTGGTATCAATAAAGTCTATCTTATCTTGAAACTGACCTGATGGCGCCACTAAAGAAAAAGTCCTTCCAAAGATATCGGAACCAATTTTTAAGACCATCCATCCAATAGCTGTTAAGATCCAAGATAAAAGATACCTGATAGTCAGTAGCTATGACTGAGATACAAACCGTCTACCAATAGGTCTTACAGTACAATATATAATGGCATAAAATGTACATGTTGTTCTCAATTTACTAAAGCCCAAGGTGACATCTTCCTATTGCTGGTTTTCTTCGACCAACAAAAACCCAAAGATATTTATTTACTATCACGAAAGACAAAGAAAAGCTGCTAATCAAATGGCAATTATTAATTATAATATTAACCATCAAAATGTATTTTCTGACGATCAAATTATCGGTTAATCGACTCATGGTTTCAGCTCTACCTTTATATGCTATTATTTTTCTCTTTTACCAAATAATGAATGGTAGAAATATGAATATTATCACATGTAAGCAGGTGTAGATCTATGTTATGCACTCTTGCAATAAAGTATAAAAATAAAACAGGTGAGTTTTATTATTTTCTCTGTTTCATATCATTGTAAATGGAATGTGTTTGAGTAAAGATGACCCACTGACGGCATGAGCATCAGGTCTGTCTCTA